AGAGACAAGCAGAGAGCTATCTGGGCTATAGATATGGAAACCAGCAGAATGAGAATACACACATATGGGTTTAACTGGAATGAGGGTTTCACATCTATGATTAAAATAAATAGGCTTAATCATGAAAGTGAAAAATAACTTATCTCCTTATTTTTTGGGGTCTGACTCCTGACTTTTGAGCTCCAAGTTTTGGAAATACTGTACATTACCTATCACCCACTCTTTTTACATGTCCCATCTTTACAAAGATCATCATCATCATCATCATCATCTTCCTATTATGCCTCTGGCGTTTAGGGCAGTGCCAAAGCTCTCCCACTTCTGTCTGTTTCTGGCAAATCTTTCAATGGTTCCCCAGCTGTGCCCCAGGTTTTTCAGCTCGGCTTCCAGAGCTCTTCGCCATGTTGGTTTTGGGCGGCCTCATTTTCGCTTGCCTTCAGGTGTCCATCTTATTGCTACTCTGATGATGGAATCAGTTTCCATCCGAAGCACATGACCGATCCATCTCCAATACCTCCTGGCAATGACAGCGCTCAGATCTTCTTGGCTGCACTGTGTCAATAGATCTTGGTTTGAGATTGTTCTGGGCCAGATACGGAGGATTTTTCTGAGGCAGGTTGTATGGAATGAAGACAGTTTGGACATGTCATACTTTCTCATTCCCCAGCATTCTGCACTATAAAGTAGTGTTGAAGTATGCAGCTCTGATAAGTCTTGAGTTTGGTTTTGGTGTTGTATTTTGATGATTTCCAGACTGTATTTAAGCTCCTGAAGGTGTTCCTGGCTTTATTGATTTTGTTCTGGATGTCCTGGCTTGTTCCACCATCCTGGCTGATAGTGCTGCCCAAGTATGTGAATATTTCTACATTGGTGAGAACATAATCCTCTATCCATAACGGTGATGGTGAGTCAGTATTAAAGGTCATGATATCGGTCTCATTTTCAGTCCAATTTGCTCGCTGAATGCGTTGAGTCGAGTTGTTTTTTCTTGTATATGATGTTGGGTATGTAATAGGAGAACGACATCATCTGCAAAGTCCAGGTCTTCGAGGGATGAGAAGAGTGTCCATTTAATGCCTCTTGGCATGTCTTCTTTTGTACGCCGCAGTACCCAATGTTGAAGAGGATTGCAGACATGACACATCTCTGATGTACTCCTGTTTTGACTTCAAAACTGAGCTCACTGTGATCAATGCTGCATGTAAAGTTGAAATAGAAGCTTTTCATGACGTTGATTACACGGAAAGCAATTCCATATGCCTGCAGAATGCACCATAGGCTGGTCCTGTGAATGCTATCAAAAGCCTTCTCAAAGTCTATGAAATTTATGTAGAAGATACATAGATACAAAGAAGATAAACCTAGATAATAGGTGAAGATTCATCTTCCATGCATCGTAAAAAAAAAAAAATCTCATAAGTAGTCTTGTATCCTGTGTTACCTGAGAGAATTGCTGTATTGTCCCAATATAGTATAACTGTTCTCCCAAAGAAACAAGTGACTTGTTTGATTTGTTTTTAATTTATGTCAAAGGTGCATTTTTTAGTTACATTTAGTTATATTTTTTAACAGAGTGCAGTCTCTAAAAGGTGCTTTTTAAATAAATCAATAAATAAAATGTAACAGAATAGGAATATAGTTAATATTTCCAAGAAAGAAATATTTATTTTTTCATCAGGCATTTTAATGAAAATAATACAACTCTTAAAATTGTTTAAGAGCAAAAATATTGGGGGTGAGGCGTTTTGGGAATATAAAAACATGAGAAAAGTATATTAAACAACTTATTTACTTTAACAGAACAATTCTAATGTACTGTACCATAACTTGATTATGATTATTTTATAAAAACAGGAAAAGATTACAGGAACATACATTAAACCACATCAATGAGCATTACTGAAAGTAAAAAATTGCAGGAGACAGGTACCAATCAAATAATCAATATGCAGGAAACAACTACATCATCCCACTTTAAAAATGAAAAAGAATGTTGCAATTTGATTTACTTTAACACACAAACAAAATTGACAGCTACATCATAACTGCATTTCGAGTTAGTTATAAACTATATACTTGATTCCTGCAGTGGGAAACTTTCATTATTCCACTTCACAGACCCAACAGAAGAACAAAAGTGTAATTCAGGAACACAAAGGAAATTATGTGAGTTCTATGTTGTCAATTCCTTGGAGAATAACCAGCTGTATTCAGCTAGGATTCTGTTTTCCTATCAAACTAACAACTGTTAATTGTGTGCTCCCTATATTTTGAGGCAAAAATTACATTTTTTAAAAAGAAAAAAAATTATGGGCATGTTGCAAAAAATGAAAATCCATCCTCTTGGATAGTTTCTACATGGATTCCAAGATTTTTGCAATACTTTGTTCTCAAAACCTATACAAAATCTGTACAGTGATATGTTTAGTGTCATATGTTAATAGCTGCAGCGAAAAAGAAAGGCAAAATGTATGCACTCTTAATTGGCTTTAAATGTGTACATCTGGCCTTTTAAAAAATAGAGATGGATAGAAATGGCCTCTGAAACCACTTATGCCAGCTGGATAAGCAAATGCAGTGCAAGTTTCCATTCACTCATACGATTGGCAAAACTACCTCCAAATTTCATCAGCATCCAACAGGAAGTATGGTAGGTTGTGCCACCTGTTATAAGTATAAAATTTACTACTTTGGTGAAGTGTTTTCTGTTCTGTCAGAATACCCCACGAAGACTGCATTAAAGTAAAAATTAGTCCTTTCAAAGTAAACTAATTTAATTTACCAAGTCAAAACTATCATATACACCTCAAGTTAAAAAAGACCCACTTCTTACTATGTGTCATCCCCTATATGATCTCTCCCACAATTAGCATTTTTGTCATCTTTAAGCTTTTATTAAAATACCATACCTCCATGTTGCTACCAGTGAAACTAAACATGCAAACTAGTACATTTTTGCTGTGTTTAGTAAGTAATCCAGTTTAGTTAACTACTGGGACAGCATCTATCCCCTTTTCAATAAATCGGGTCTGTCATGTTGTTTTATCATCAACATTGCTTGAAACTTCTCCAGGAGCTCTTTGCTCAATTTTAGATCAAATGAGATTGATAACCAAATCAACATATCAAGCATATCACTTTGTTTTACAAATTCCTGTATCACAAACCCAATGGGGTGTGTCCAAGGACGGTGTACCTGGTTTACATAAGCTGTTGATAATATTACTAAGAATTAAAGTGGAATGTTCGATGTCATTTGTATATTTTTATTCTGAATGTTCTTTCAACTCATGGCTATTGCATAGCAGTGCTGGTGTCAAACTCTGGGATTAAATGAAAAGTCTGGGCATGTTGTGAGTTCAAAGAGTTTCCTTCACTCAGGTGATTAACACGTCTTTGTTTCTGTGCCTCACAATAAAATCAATTATGCTAAAAAAGTTCCCTTACAACACATGTGAGATAGTCACATTGAACATAAACGTAACAACCTGAAAGTGTTTAACTCAGGAAAAACAGATGCTGTGGTAAATAGGACCAATAAATCAATCCATCAAGTGTACCATTACAATGTTATGAGTCTGAAGTGTCAGAAATGTGATTTCAGTTCTCTCTCGTCTTAGTTTACAGTATGCCATTTAGACAGAGGTAGACTTCACTTATTTGCTGAGACTTGAATCTACTTCAGTTATGACATGCTACACTATATTAAATAATATTAGACTCAGATGCACTGCCTGTAAATTCTTAATAAGGTAGCTGCCTGCACACTGTCAGTTAAGTGCTCAACTGGCTATCTGTAATCAATTAAAATTGATAGTTAAATTCTTTTAATCTTTATTACAGTAAATGGAATGCATGACATTTTTAGTATACTTTTTGTATGCTAGGATGGAAAAACCAAAATTATATTTCCCAACATACACTGCTATTTTATTTAATGAAAAAAGGCACCCCACACTATAAAAATGAGACTAACTCTATGGTAAATTTCCCTTTCTTATACTGCATCTTAGTCATGGAGTAAGTTTATTGCAGTTTGTGCTTCTGTGACTTAAGGCCAGAATCACTCTGGTGGCAGGTTGTTTGATTTATACAGAAACCTTATTTACCAAGATGCACAGATAAGTAAAAACAGTTGATTAAACCTAGTTGTACAGTGAGCTTTGCCATTTATCATTTTGAACAAGTTAATAATGGTACCTAAGGTTTAGTTCACAAATTACTAGAACAATTACTAGAAATTACAAGAACAAATTAAATTTTGAAGAGCACACAACTGGATTCTATTTCTCTCCCAGTTTTCTGCTTCTTCAATAAGAGTCCAAAAGTCTCATTCTAACGATATTGCCGATGGAGACTACCTTGACACTCAACTTCCTACACAGGCATCGGTTAAGGCTGAGAGACTGTATCATGGGCATGCTGCACTGACCTGCAGTTGCGGATTTTAAACCCCCTCGGGATAGGTCGGTGTGCTGTTCAATTGGAGAAAAAGTCAGTGTAACATCTTTAAATGTTAGAACAGAGACGTGATGAGGAAAGAGGGACACGGGTAGAGTGATACCAGAAAGATAATGCAGATGTAGTTGAATTTACTTTCTAGCCCTCTAAATTCTGTTTGTGCACATTTTGGAAGGGCGGAATTAAAAAACCAAAGCACAAGAGAATAAGAACAAAATGCAGCCTCTCAGGACCAGCTAGTTAAGACAAACAGTATTTCTACTAGGAAAGCCTATTCAGGTATTAAAGTAGCTGAAATTCTAGTGAAGGTCCTAAGGAAGGAAAAATAAATGAAGTACGACTGTTAATTCCCTTTTTATCTATCACTGGTGGGACATGTTCCCAATCTAACAGACTTCTAACGGAAGCTAAAGTTAGTACCAAGACATCAGTCTTCATTATGCAGCTACATGAAGAGAATACCATTTTTTTTTTGGTCAGTTCCTTAAAGGAAATGGGCAACTTTCTATTAATTGGGGGGCAGGGAAGAAGCTACTTACTCAAGTCAAGAACATCATCTGTTTTTATTAGATCCTCCTCCCTTGTCAATGGCAACTGAGTTTCTGGCTCGTCTCGCAAATGCAGTGACAGTGAACGGAGCATGAAGAAAACTCTGATTGCCTAAAGAAATTAAAAACATGTTAAATTATTCTGCATTAGACTAAAGATAAAGATATTTCATTGTGCAGAGAGAGAAGTAAGTGCTCAAAGAGTTGTATAAAAATACATCTATGTTTAAGACCACTGACTAAATTGTAGTGCAGTATGTCAACTGTTTAAATTGAGAAAGCACATTAGTGTACCAGTTTGTCAACAAAACTAAAACAGAGCAGAACCACACACAGTGGATTTTCCATCTGGTAAAATCAGCAGAGAACACATAGTGAAGGTGTACCTCTACAATCTAAGATCATAAGGCAGGTGATAGTTTAAAGTGTGTGGACCAATTTGAACTATCCTTTCTGTTTAAGGGGGAAGAGTTTTTATTTATTTTTAAGACAGGACTAGTAGTATAGTTAGTAGCACTGGGCTCTCGCTTGGGAAGCCCAAATTCTCTAGAGTACTTTTTGACCAGGAATATTGTAGTGATGATACCCTCACAATTGCTGGGGAGACATGGATGAAAGGAGGGGAAGTCAACAGGCGACACACCCAAGTGTCATGTTAGACGATAGCTTGACATCTTCAGAGGGAACTGAAGAGGAAGAAGGTTTCAGGTGCACTACAACTGATTTGATGGGTGGAGTGTCATTGTTCAATGTAAAATGAATGCTCTTGTACAGCTAACTAGCTTGAATATCACTGACCCCAGAGTCAGAAAAGCGCAGAGAGAGAGAGAGAGAGCGCATGAGCATCTACACATGTGCAAGAAACAATAACTTAGTGTGAATCACATTCAGATTGGTTGTGTACTTAATGTGTTTATTACAAAGACAAGGTAGGACCAACACAGCTACAACACCACTGAATACAACAATGTATTTATTATAAAGCAGTTACAATGGACTGACAATAAAATAACAAAATAAGGTATTATGTTTCAGAAAGAGTTCACATTTTTTACATGGAGTTTAAAAAGTCTTAATGTTTAATAAAAGTTCTTATATATTTGAATGTTTGTTCAATGATTGTATAAACACACCAATTAATGTTTATTAGACAACGCCTGCACTCTTTTGACCCACTCCAAAAACTGAAAGCTTAAAATATAAAACAAGTGCTCAATTTGGTAGTGGGAGTAAGTTTTTGTTAAACAGCTGTACACAGGTGGGATGTATTTCCAGGAACATACACATGAAAAACCAACTATGAGCTCATATTTCATTCTCTTTTCTGCAGCCACCATTTAATGTTAAAAACAGTGACTGACCAGAGCTGGAGTGAAAATTAAAGCCATCTGTAAAAAGTTAGCGCAGCTTAAAATTCTGTACAAATACCACCACTCCTCATTCCCCATTATGGCTTAGTTTATGGAATCTGTGCTCAAGGATGTTATAAATACGTGCTTACGAGGGGAACCTATTTTAACTCTTATTTATGGACAGCACACTTTTACCAGAATTAGCCTAATGGAAAGTCTGAAGAATGCATTCATAACACATGAAGCGAATGGTGAGGTGGTGGGTTTTTTTGCTAAGTGTAAAGAAAAGAGCTCTTTTCCTGACAGTAACCAAATGAGGGGAAGAAACCAATACTGAACACAGGGGCAAAGAGATACAAAGTATGTCATGCTTGACTTTCTTTCACCACCAGAAACATCACTTTAGAGAAAATTCAGAAGCCTTAGAGTAGACTGGTGATATTTTAAAATACATCAGGGGCAAGTGATTCAGATCTCCTTGTCACCCACTGACCAAATGCCATGCAGCAGAGGTGAACAAACCAGCCCAAAATATGGCAATGTGTCTGTGGATTGGTGACTATGAAGAAGCTCATAGGTAGTTACCAGTGACCTACACACAACTCAGCAAATGTGAGATTATGCCTACTTGGAAGGCAGGGGATGGCTAGTCACAAAAAACAAGGTAGTACAAACAGCTGCTCTAAGCTACATATTCCCATTACACTGTCTAGAAACATGTACAGCAAGATGTTAGTGAAGCAGCAACTTCTGTCCCACAACTTTTACTCTCTTCAAAGTAGGAAATAGTGTACTTGTGTAGGATCAATCTAAAGGAAGAGTCTCGTACAGGAACCGCAAGCTTATGAACAAATTCCCATTTTGACTTTGAGATGCGAAGGATTTTGTTGGTTTAGGTAAAATATTTATCTAGGTCTTTCTTGGACATTTCTGCTCTAGATTTTTCCTTCTGCCAGGGGCAACAGCTCCTTCTTCCACACATTTGGTATTCGGAGCAACCATTATAGTGAAGGTGATGCTATGAAAAGGATATGGCATTCCAGCTATCTCCGTTAGCTCCACTGCCTTTCCAGGTCCAAAGTTGTAATTAGGGCTCTGAGGAAGAGGGAAATTGAGCAGGGACACAGTCCGATTTGAAGAACTGATTACAGATGCGATCTTTTTTTCTTCAGGACACCTCTGCAAACTCCCACTTCATGGGGTAGTTTCATAATCAGTACCACACTCTCTGGAAGGAGGGACAAGTCTGTATTGATGGTTGTAGTACACAGCAAATTAAGCATCTGACCAGGATGCTAGATCCAGTGACCTAGTTAACAGTATTTTGTGGAATGTGAATATAACCCCAGGTTGCAGCACTGCATATTTCTTCAGTTGGGATAGGACAGACCTACTATGTGGAGTGTGACCTAAACCCCACTTAGAGCAGAACAAATGTTTATTTGTAGCTTTCTATACCAGCCCTAACCCATTCTGATAAACATGGCAATATAATTGCTTGTCCCTTATTAGTACTATCCCAAAATGAAAAAAGTGTTTTGGCGATTTTCTAAATTCCTTGGTCTTATTTGAATAGAAAACGAATGCCCTTTTTGCATCAAGAGTAAGCAGTTTTGCCTCACTTGGATGTGAATGAAGTCTGGGAACAAATACTGGTAAGTTAATGGATTTATTGAGATGGAGTTCTGTTGCCACTTTGGAAAGTAGTTTAGGATGAGGATGGAGGACTATTTTCTCTTTGTGAAGGACAGTAAAGGGTTGGTTAGCCATGTGGGCCTTTAACACATTTACTCTTGCAATACATGTAATTGCTATAATTAAGGCGGTTTGGATTTAATGGTTAAAAAAGAAATGTTGCCCCATGTCACATAACCCCTCTTTTGACATAATGCTAATCTGAGATCCCGTTAGAGTTGGCTCTGACTTGGAAGTAAATGTTCATTAGTCCTTTCATTAAATCTCTTAACTGTGTCATGTGTGATTAGAGTCTAGTGTGTGGCTGTTTACAGGAAGTAGCATTCTACTCGTTCCTATCTGGGGGATTACTCAACTGCAGCGGCGTATGGGGCATACAGGAAAACTAGATGTCCTTGGAGCCTAAAAGGATGCCTGCCTGCCCCTTCCTGTCCCCCCGGCTCACAATTCCCATTTGAGTACTTCAGGAGAGACCCAATACCTCTTGGGGCTTTACTCAGTAAGTCAGTAGCCATTTTGAACATGGAAAGCAATTTCTCACTTATCCCCGTAATCCCACAAGGGTGCAGCTGGCTGAACTATATTACTGTGGTAACATATTATGAGCTAAATGAATAAGCAATGATAGAAACAGTATATTCATAACATTCTTGGAAATATCTGCTGTTTCACTTTTTCCTCACAGATATAAGCAGGCACCAGCAATTACACATACATGCAAAGATATCTAAAGCACAAGTACTTATGAAATAGAAAAGTGCTGATCTCCATAATAACAACGAGGAGTCCGGTGGCACCTTAAAGAATAACAGATTTATTTGGGCATAAGCTTTCGTGAGTAAAAACCCTACTTCTTCAGATGCATGGAGTGAAAATTACAGATACAGGCATAGATATAGTGGCACATGAATAGAAGGGAGTTACCTTACAAATGGAGAACCAGTGTTGACAAGGCCAATTCGGTCAGGGTGGATGTGGTCCACTTCCAATAATTGATGAGGAGGTGTCAATACTAAGAGGGAAAATTGCTTTTGTAGTGAGCCAGCCACTCCCAGTCTCTATTCAGCCCAAATTAATGGTGTTAAGTTTGCAAATTAATTTTAGTTCTGCAGTTTTTCTTTGAAGTCTGTTTTTGAAATTTTTTTGTTGAAGGATGGCTACTTTTAAATCTGTTATTGCATGTCCAGGGAAATTGAAGTGTTCTCCTATTGGCTTTTGTATGTTACCATTCCTGATGTCTGATTTGTGTCCATTTATTCTTTTACATAGAGACTGTCTGGTTTGGCCAATGTACATGGCAGAGGGACATTGCTGGCACATGATGGCATATATAACATTAGTAGATGTGCAGGTGAATGAGCCCCTGATGGTGTGGCTGATGTGGTTGGGTCCTCTGATGAGGTCGCTAGAGTAGATATGGGGACAGAGTAGGCAATGGGGTTTGTTACAGGGATGTGTTTCTGTGGTGTGGTGTGGTGTGTAGTTGCTGGTGAGTATTTGCTTCAGGTTGGGGGACTGTGTGTAGGCGAGGACTGGCCTGCCTCCCAAGGTCTGTGGTCCGTTTTCCAGGATAGGTTGTAGATCGATGATGTACCGGAAAAGGTTTTAGCTGGGGGCTATACATGATAGTCAGTGGTGTTCTGTTATTTTCCTTGTTGGGCCTGTCCTGTAGTAGGTGACTTCTGGGTACCTGTCTAGCTCTGTCAATCTGTTTCCTCACTTCCCCAGGTGGGTATTGTAGTTTTAAGAATGCTTGATAAAGATCTTGTAGGTGTTTGTCTCGGTCTGAGGGATTGGAGCAAATGCGGTTGTATTTTAGGGTTTGGTTGTAGACAATGGATCGTGTGATGTGTCCTGGATGGAAACTGGAGGCACGTAGGTAAGTATAGCGGTCAGTAGGTTTCCGGTATAGTGTGGTGTTTATGTGACCATCATTTATTTGCACTGTAGTGTCCAGGAAGTGGATCTCTTGTGTGGACTGGTCCAGGCTGAGGTTGATGGTGGGGTGTTGAAATCCAGGTGGAAATCTTCAAGGGTCAACTTCCCGTGGATCCATATAATGAAGATGTCATCAATGTAGCACAAGCAGAGGAGGGGCACTAGGAGACGAGAGCTGAAGAAGTGTTGTTTTAAGTCAGCCATAAAAATGTTGGCAGACTGTGGGGCCATGCGGGTACCTACAGCACTGCTGCTGATTTGAAAGTATAAATTGTCCCCAAATCTGAAATGGTTGTGGCTGAGGACAAAGTCACAAAACTCAGCCACCAGGTGTGCCGTGGCCTCATCAGGGATACTGTTCCTGACAGCTTGTAGTCCATCCTCACGTGGAATATTGGTGTTAAGAGCTTCTACGTCCATGGTGGCCAGGATGAACATAATGAACATCTTAAAGTGGCAAGGCCAGCATGCATAGTACTGCACTCTAAATACCAAGGGGAATGAAATTTCAAATTATGATTCTTAAAGGGAAAGAACCATTTAAGAACTAAGAGCTTCCATACTGGTTCAGACCATGACCCATCTTGCTCAGTATCCTGTCTCTGACAGTGGCCTATATCAAAGTTTCAAGGGAAGTGTACAGAACAGAGCAATTATGGAATGATCCATCCCCCGTCGTCCAGTCCCAGCTTCTGGTAGTGAGAAGTTTAGGGACACCCAGAACGTGGGGTTGCGTCCCTGTCTGTCTTGGCTAATAGCCATTGATGGATCTATCCGCTATGAACTTATCAAGCTCTTTTTTAACCCCAGTTATACTTTTGGCCATCACAACATCCCATGGCAATGAGTTCCACAGGTTAGTTGCGTGAAAAGATACTTCTTGGCTGTATTAAATCTGCTGCCTATTAATTTCTTCAGTGCCCCTGGTTCTAGTATTGTGCAAAAGAATAAACAACACAACACTTCTGTATTATTTTTTTCCACACCATTCAGGATTTTAAGACCTCTGTCATCGTATCTCCTCTTAGTTGTCTTTTCTAAGCTGAACAACCCTGATCTTTTTGGTCTCTCCTCATATGGAAGCCATTCAGTACTCTTGATCATCTTTGTTGTCCTTCTCTGAAACTTTTCCAGTTCCACTATATCCTTTTTGAGATTGGGGAAACCATAATTAGAAAGAGTATTCAAGGGGTGGAAGCACCACAGATTTATATAGTGACATCATGATATTTCTCTATCCCTTTCCTAATAGTTCCTAACATACTGTTATAGCCTTTTTGACCGCTGTTGTGCATTGAGTGGAAGTTTTCAAAGATCTATCCACGATGATTACAAGATCTTTCTTGACTGATTCAGAAAGACTAGGCTCAGAAAACAAGGCAGTATTTACATCTTATTTCTTCCTATATAACATACTCAAGATCTGGTCTTTCCCTGTCCTGAGCACCAAAATTCACTCAGGCTCTTATCTCACATCCTGACTACCTCAAACTTATCTCCTCAATCCCATTTAAAATGTTGCTAAGACCACCTTCCTGGACAGGATTTCCTGTTGAGTCAATTAACTGACCTTTTCCTTTGCAACCACTACAAGATGCTTCACAATTTAACCCCTCCTCACTGCTTTAATATAATACTACATTGTAGTTGCTTTTTTGTCATCACTGTTGTCAAAAATGCCAGCCTCCTTTTTCTGCTTCTCCAACAAGCATCCTCTATGTCAACCCCCGTGGGGGAAATGACCATTCCCATGAAAATTTGGGAACCCAATACATACCCTCATTCAAAGCCCTGCTTAAGACTTACTTCTACTACAGTGCCAGCAGAACACTGCCAGGTGATGATGTTAACAAATGCAACCTACAATTACTGCTACCAATATAATTATCCTTCTTTATTAATAGGAAAAACCTTATACCTACAAATGGTGTGCACTGTTATGAAAAAATGTTTTTATTACTCTCTTCCCACTCCCACCTGACCCTGTTCTGTTTTACCCAATGGTTACTTCTTGCCAAACTAAGATTAATGTCTTTGGGGCAGAAAAAGTATTTTGCTACATCTATACGTCTAGCACAATGGAGCCAAGTTGGTGCTTCATTCTGCTACTGAAGGGTGAAAGACAGTGAAGCAAACTTTTGATTTTGGTATAGGATAAAAACTGTAAGTGTGGTTAACAGCATGAGATCAGTAAAGGAAAATTTACACGGAATAGCAGAAAAAGCATCCTAAGATGAGAGTCATTAGACAGTGGAACTCCTCCATAAGAACATAAGAATAGCCATACTGGGTCAGACCAAAGTTCCATCTAGCCCAGTATCCTGTCTTCTGACAGTGGCCAATGCCAAGTGTCCCAGAGGGAATGAACAGAACAGGTAATCATCAAGTGAGCCATACCCTGTCGCCCATTCCCAGCTTCTGGCAAACAGAAGCTAGGGACACTATCCCTGCCCATCCTAGCTAATAGCCATTGATGGATCTATCCTCCATGAACTTATCTAGTTCTTTTTTTGAACCCTGTTATAGTCTTGGTCTTGACAACAATCCTCTGGCAAAGCATTCCACAGGTTGACTGTGTGTTGTGTGAAAAAATACTTCCTTTTGTTTGTTTTAAACCTGCGGCTTATTAATTTCATTTGGTGACCTCTAGTTCTCGTGTTGAGAAGGAGTAAATAATTCCGTATTTACTTTCTCCACACCAGTCATGATTTTATAGACCTCTATCATATCCCCCCTTAGTCATCTCTCTTCCAAGCTGAGAAGTCCCAGTCTCATTAATCGCTCCTCATATGGAAGCCGTTTCAGACCTCTAATCATTTTTATTGCCCTTTTCTGAACCTTTTCCAAGTAAAATAGAGAAAACTCCATTGCCCAATTCAAATTAAAGTTACCATATACAAGAAATACTGTAGAGAAAACATTTCTGTAATGGATGGGGTATGAACTAGGTGACCTAACTGGGTCTTTTCCCATCTTTAGTTTTGATTCTATGGTGTAATTTCCAGTATATTGGCCAAAAATACTTTAAGAGTTCATTACTATATGGATAATAGTCATAAGTTTAGCTGTTTAATTGATGCTCTGTGTTGACATAACATTTTTTCCATGGAAGGTGCAGACAGTTGCCTATTTAGGGAAAGTCTTAAGTGTCATTTCACCAAAGGATTTAAGAAAAGTAGGCTCACTCACTCTTCGTGTTCTTTCCACATCTCCACATGGCAGTCTTTTCACAAAATCAATACCAGTTAGTGGTGTCCCCGTTGGTGGGAGCAGAATGGAGGCATCCATCATCAAGTACTCGACATTCATGGGCTTACTCTATGAAAATAGTTCCACATTCAGCATACATTACAGCAATAAAAGAGTTCGTAAATTCACTTTCAAATGCAACTTACCATTTCTAACAAACCCCAGAAGCAGCATACCTGATATTTTCAGGACTCTTGATATGGTGTGTGTGCACAGATATAGATATAAAATTTAAACCAAATATACTCTATGTCAATATTTGCTCATCAAGGTAAAGCTTGGCTTTTTTCCCCAAACAAAAGTGGACCAGATAAGTAAAATCCCAAACTTCTTATGAATTTATTGATGTACTGCAGTGCACCCAGAAAAGGAAAGAGCATTACAGTGCATATAAAATAGATGTTAATATGTATTTCTAACATTTTAAATCTGAAGTTTGCCTACAGAGTACATGTTTTTTCAGATGGTGTCCCAAAGGAAAGGGGAAAGTAGGCATGTAGGATGGCGGACAACTGAAGCCTACTCTTGTTATGACGATGTGCCTCCAGATGCTGCAAAATAAGACAGGGCTGAAACAGATAAGGATCTAGGCACTGTAATCTCAAACTGGTGTCTGCCACAAACAAAGGTTCTGACTGCAGGTCCCCATGGCTTGCTAATAAAACAAAAACAAAAAACAAACAAAAACCAGACTTCTCAGCATCATACACCTTTTGAAGAAATTCCTAAGATATCTAAAACGTTGCATAACTCAGTTAAAACTGTTTTGGTGAATAAGAAATGTGGTGGGTATTAATCTGCAAGGTTAAGATAGCAGAAAAAACAACATGGAAGTCTAAATTAATGATAATGCTATTGTGAATGCATAACTACAAGAAATGAACAGCTCTGAGATAAGGTGAACCAGCTAGCTTAAAGATCAAACCACATTCAGGAACCAAGTTGATCAGGTTTCTTACTGATAAAGGTGAATGAGTTCAAAAATGAAGCTAACATTTCAAAATACGGTTCTACCCTGGAAAAGTAAAAATGCAGATATGGCACCATCTGACTCAGATCTGCTGATGCTGGTGAAATACAACTTTTTACTCCTTGGCCCTGCAGAGACAGCAGTGAGTGAGCTGGTTTCTAGTCCTCACCTGCTTCAAGAGAATTATTCACTATGAACAAATCATATACCCTTGTGCAACCCTGTTAAAGGCAACAGAGATGCACAGATGTCACGGAGTACCTCATTTTGCCTAAAGAGCCTCTGTTACAATGATTGTGCTTGACTTCTCATCTGCTAGTGTAAATCAGAAACAACTCTAGTCAAGTTACTAGATTTACATCAGTCTAATGTTGGCATAAGGTGGGAGAAGAATCTGGTCCGTAGATCTCAGAATGAGTTTGCAGAACTGCTAGAGAACAACTTTGATCTCATAGCAATGGACTCAGTGCCAAGTAGAGAGGCAATACACATGGAACCATTCAGCACTAGTTTTTCAGGCACTTTTCAAAATAGAACCACACCAACATTCAATGAAAGCTACACAATACTCAAAGATTGGAGGAAACATTTCAGAATATTTCCAACCTCCCCACTTTGAGCAGACTCACAAAGTTCCTCCCAATATTAAAAGATTTTTTTGTAATATACAAACTGTAGGTTGTACACTTCAATATGAGACTTAATTGTTGTGCCTCCTGCTATTATCTAACAGGAAAAAATATTTCTGACACTAGCAGTCTGGCAACCCAAGGTCAGAGATGCCCAAACACTGTTTTAAGACATGATGTTTATAGGTTAAATATTAAATCTCTGCAAAATCAAGGACTGTTCTCTGGCCAGCATTATGATTATAGCAATGTCAACTGCCACTAGTATCATTGCTCAGAAAAACCAGTTTTAATTAAAATTGTCTAAACTTGAGTTGACAAGGTATAAATCATGAAGAGATTATTACACAGGGTGTTATGCTGCTGGAAGTGCCATCTTTCAAATATGATGTAAAATCCAGGCCCTCCTGTTAGTTGTCAGGAAGATTCCATTCCCCATTTCACAAGAGAAGCGGTGTTTACCCAAACTGAGATCTAGCATGGAAACCAGGGTTATTACAGTCTACACAATTCACAGAGGAAAAGAGGATTTTTTTACCTTTTTACTTGATTAGTGTTTTGGCATGCTGTTAAACAGATACCACACTTCTCAGGGGATTAAGTGATATCTATGCTTTTTATAGAATTTTTTGTGTGGAATTTTTAGATAAAAGGCTCTATATAAATGTAGACATGCTCCTCTGAGCAAAAACACATGCAGTTTTATTATTCCAGTCCTATAAATAAAATCCTTGGTATTTTATGAAGTTTTACATCAGCATTTCTATTTTAACCTCTATTTTCTAATCACTTACTGTCATACTCCTATATTCGTCTTCAAACATATCCAGAAAAATCTCTTCTCCCTTAAAAAAAACCAAGATATTATTTCTCTATGTATAAACATGTACGTTATGGATCCTGGGTCATGGTTGAGAAGCCATCTGTTTTTCATTACACACATTTCTCAGAAGTCACCAGTAAATTAAAGTAAAAAGAAATCCTGCATCATCGTTCAGCACTCAACATTCTTTTAAGAACTTACCAAAATAGGAAAATGTCATGTCTGTTCATTGTTTTGGGATATTTGACATTAGTTTATTGTTAGTAGGAGTTAAAGTGTCAGACTGAATATTTCAGTTCTCTCATGATTTGTTTACAATGCACTAAAAGAAGTGAAATGCTGTAAACATCTCACTTAAATAGGGGGAAAAAGAAAATATTTAAGATATTGAGAATAAATTATGAGCCATTCTAAAGATCACTGCTGAGCAAGAAGTGTCATTAATAACCATGTGTCTCCCTAATGCTGACAGCGTCCCTGATGTACTCCAATGAGGTTTAAGCTTCAGGTTCCGTTCCATTCATAAGTAGCAGAACCATGTAATAAAATACAATCATATACCTCTGATACCTTGCTTGCACTCTACTCACTAATCCATGTCCAAGACAAAATTGTTACTAACCTGTTCTGTAACTGTTTTTCTTCAAGATGTGTTGCACATGTCCATTCCACTTCACGTGTGTGCACAGCCAGTGCACCAGAGCTAAAGATTTTTTCTTAGCAGTATTCCTCAGGATGGCACATGCACCTTTTGCATGCTTGTGTTACCAGCTAATGATATAAAAGGTGGAGCTGCCCCCAACACACCCTCAGTTCCTTCTTACCAGATAAATTCCAATGTAGAGTGGAAAAGGTATGGGTTGTGGAATGGACAAGAAGAATGGAGAAGAACCAGTACCAGTAGGCCTACCGCCTGCATGATTGAAGAATCTGGCACCGAGAATCTAGCACTGAGAGGCAGAGTAAAACTCTAGCTGCTGCACAAGTCTCAGGTGTTGTCGGCACTGAGACACTTCCTTGGCCCAGCAGTTGCTGCACCACAAGTGTCAGCACCACAATAAGAACTGGCCTCGACGACCCAGAAGCCAGTGCCAGAGTCAATGATTCTTACAGAGATATAGCAGAGGTCGGTACCAGGGTGCGTTGTCTACCTGCCATATCTGCTACTCTGAGGATAGATGGCAACAGGGATCTCAGTCTCATGCCAGAATCAGATCTACCCATATTAGAGGAATGGTGTTCACTGGATCTCATGCGTTTTTCCCTCAGCACGAGAGAAGAGGATTGGTGCCTTACCTTTGATGATGATCTTTCGGGGGTAAATGAGAATGTCCGGAGGGGCACATACAGCAGACATGGATGTACTTGGCATCTGCACCAAGTAGGAAGGTTCCAAAGATGGACACAAGACAGCCTCCATAAAAGCATGGCACAGTCTCACCTCCCTGTCCTTTTTTGTATGCAGCTTGAAGTCTTTACAGATCTGGCAGTGTGTCTTGAATGTGGCCCTCACCCAGACACTTCAGGCACCGGGAACAAGGGTCACTCACTGGCAGAAACATCTTGCAACCAGCATAGGGCTTAAAACCCGAGGACCAAAAGGCATGGCTTGGTACTGAATGGTAACACCTGACCACTAATTGGGATTCAATGCCAGTAAACCAAGAAAAAGAAAGAAAACCTAGACAGACACACATACACATGCACTATAACTATACACAAAGATACAGAAAAAACCACTGACATTTGGGAAAGACTTGAGTAAACAAGTCAACATGCTCTGACAACGAAAGGAACTGAAGGGGTCAGGGGTAGCTCTGTCCTTTATATCATCAGTCAGTAGCATGAGCATAATAAAGATGCATGTGTCACCCCAGTAGACACCACTAAGGAAAAACCATCTCCAGCTCTGGTGGACTGCATGCGCACATGCCTGAAGTTGAGCGGACATGTGCAGTCATGAAGAATAAGCAATTTGCAACGCCCATTTTTTTTTCCAGTAAAGAAAACCAACCAGTATAATGATTCTGTTTCAAAGGCAGAATTCTTCCCTTACTCAAAAAGTTAAGCTGCCCTGAAAGCAACAGAGAGACAAGGTGGGTGAGCATTCTGACTTCAGAAGTTGGTCCAATAAAAGATATTACCTCACTCACATTGTCTCTTCAATATCCTGGGACAGAAATGGCTACAAAGACACTGCATACAATATTGGCAATATAATTTATGGTATTAAACTCCATCATTTTCTTTAAATATTGTGTACACTTTTTTCTAATATATGCACACAGTGTAGTCTACCCTAGTTGGAAGAGGAAATATTTAAAATAAGAAAGGATTAATTAATTTTATCCACCTCTTTAAAAAAGTACCTTATAGAAGTGTCGCAGAAGATGAACACTCTCTTCTCTTGCACCCTAGAGAGAAGAAATAGATCAGTGATGATCTGATCAATACCCAAAATTAAGGTTACTTACTTGCAACTAGAGTTCTTTGAGATGGACTCTGCATATTTGCACTCACGGGACATGCATGTGGGTGCACTGAGACAATGGCCACTGGAGCACTCGTGTCCCTTCCTGCCCCTCCCCAATCCCGAATGTTCTTGGGGTCAGGCTATAAAAGAAGTTGTGGCACTCCAGCCACCTCAGTCCCTTCCCTCAAGTCTGCTTCCTCAAGTCTAGTTTATAAAGTCAAGGAAGAGGGGAAGGTGGTCAGGGAGTGCAAATATGCAGAGTCCATCTTGACCTACAGTTACAAATAACATACTGTTATTTCTCCTTCGAGTGACCTCTGTATATTCCCATGTATGGGAGAGATTGGCAAGCAGTAGATGCAAAGGAAGGCAGGATGAGAAGTCCTAATTAATAATGACAGCTTTCAGAGTAGCAGCCGTGTTAGTCTGTATCCGCAAAAAGAACAGGAGTACTTGTGGCACCTTACAGACTAACAAATTTATTTGAGCATAAGCTTTCGTGGGCTACAGCCCACTTCTTCAGATGCATATATGTTCCATTCTATGCATACGAAGAAGTGGGCTGTAGCCCACGAAAGCTTATGCTCAAATAAATTTGTTAGTCTCTAAGGTGCCACAAGTACTCCTGTTCTTTTTCCTAATTAATAAGTGATTGAAGGACTGCTCTGCCAAACAGCTTCAAACCTGGTCTTGCGGTTTAGACAGCAATGTTTTGTAAGAATGTGAACTAGAGCTCCAAGTTGCGGATTTACAGATTTCTAATTGGTATGTGTCTGAGACACGATACTGAAGCTCCGTTGGCCCTAGCAGAGTGAGACCTTATACGTTCCATTCCTATTCCTGAAGTGAACGTAAAAGCCTCTCCTGTACAGACTTTGACCCAGATGAGTGATGTTTAGGAAGACGTAACTTGCCCCTTTTTATTCTAAGCAAAGGAGATATAGCTTTGGTGAATGTTTGTACTATTTACATGGTAATAAAGAGTTAACTAAAGCTCTTAACATGAAGAGTATGCAGTTTGGCTTCACCCTTCTGCACATGAAACTCAGAGAGAAACAGAAGTGAACTGATTAATGTGAAAATCTAACTACTTTAGGGAGAAATTAGGGAGTGAAGATGTACAACTATTTTGTCCTCATTAAAAAAAAACTGTAAACGGTGGTTCTACCATAAGTGCCTATAACCTGCTCAATCACCTTTCACACAGAACTGCCTCCAGGAGTGCTATTTTTAGAAATGAAATAAAAACAAATTCTCCCATTAGCTCAAATGGGCGTTTCATTAAATGGTGTGAGAACCAGATTTATATCCCACCAGGATGACACAGTTTAATAGGAGGATAAATGTTACGTCTCTTTAAAACATTTCTTAACTGTTTCAAAAGAAAACACATTTTTATCGTCAAAAGAATAGAAGGCTGATATGGCAGATAAATGAACTTTAATTAAAGACAGGAACAAGTCTGATATTTTCAGCTGGAGCAAGTATTCCAGTATACACTGAATTGGGCATTCAAAGGGGATGTATTATTACCTGCTGACACTGTGAAGTTTTTCTGTTTTAAATTGTACCATTTGAGTAGATTCTTTTCTGGAGCTCACGAAGACATTCTGAACATCAGTAGCACAAAGTAGCTCAAAGTCCATTAGAAACCTATTGCCCATGTGGTGACATGCAGAGTGCTTTGATCTAGATGACAGACTCCATTATCTTGTTGGATCAGTAAATATGGAGTAACAGGCAGCATTTTGTAGGTTCCTTCTAAGCGGTACAGTAGGTCTGGTGACCATTGTTCTCTAGGCCAAGCAGGCGTGAATAAGATTATCTTAACCTTGTCCTGATTTACTTTTCTTATAACCCCCTGCATAAGAGGATAGGAAGAAAGGCACGCAGGAGTCCTTGCCTTCATTATATGCAGAATCAAAACTCAAATGCCTGTCTCTCTCTGCTCATGAACAAAACTTTTGACATTTCACACTATTTACAATGAAGTCTATGTTTGGGTGTCCCCACGATGCAAAGATTTCCTCTGTCATTGGTGTTTTCAGTGACCACTTGTGAGCATCTATTGTGATTCTTCTTAGCTGGTCTGTGACAGGTGCATAAGAATACATCATTCCCATAAAACTGTAACCTCTCTGCAAAGTTGAGTAGAATAGGAACCTCCCTGTTTGTAATATTGTTCATAGCCACCTAGACCAACTGTGCTGGAGACGACGTAAGAAAGTTTTTAATGCCTAACAAATTTCTCTGAGCTCTAGAAGGTTTATATGTAATTTAGTCTCTGGGGGATTTTAGTGTTCCCTACGCTGTGAACCAGAAGCAGTGAGGCCCCCATCTGTTGCTTGACACATCAGAGGTAACTGTTGTAAATGGAGCAAGAGGGCTGAATGTCATATCCCAGAAGACATTGCAAGTTGAGTGTCCCACCTCAAAATCGCAGCATTGTCTTTGGAATGGTTAATTTTCAATACATGCTGTCTGTAGTCTGTATCTGGTTGACAGCCAGTGATATAAGGTTCTCATTTTGAGATTAGCGTATAAGGTGACTTATTTTGAAGCTAAAAATTCCATCAACTTGAGGTAGAACACTACTTAATGTCCATTCAAAAGGTAAAGAGCTTTTATAGGAGATTTGTAAGAGTAACTTCTCAATTTATCAAGAACCGAGGTCTTTCAAAGGGAGTATATGCAGAAGAGAGCATTGTAAAGGTGTTCCTTTGATTACATAACCTATCCAAATTGTTCACATAAATTCCCTCTTATCTGAGTTGCCATCACAGATGCATATTTTATAAAATACTCTGTGGCAGCAGAAAGTTCAAAAAATGATCTTGCCCCACTAAATGAAGGTATTTGCAATGAGTGATTCTTTTGCAGATATGGAACAGGTATCCTTTAAACAGAGACCAGCAAACCACTCCTTAAGAACGGGAGAGTATGGTCGAGGCTCAGGTCTGCATATGGAAATTAATTTTCCTGATGAAAGCTTCTTAAGGTCTAGTATAGAGTGAAGACCATCTTTTTTGGGAATCAGAAAGTACCTTGAATAGAACCCTGTGTTTCCCAATTTCTGTGGTACCTCTTCTATTCCTTGGTACTACCCTCTTTCAAGGAGGGCAAGAACCAATTATCTCAACAGGTTTTTGCAAGGAGGGTTCCTGAATAGGGAAATGGAAGGATGAATAGTTTTGAACTGTATTGATACCTCTTGTAATTTCTAAATTCCACTGCATTTTCCTGTAGAAATGCAGTGGAAAAAATGATGCAGTCAGGCTCTAAATTGAGGGAAATACGCTTGAATTAGTACTGGATTGTAGTTCCTGGGCAGTATGTCAAACTTTGGGCCAAAGGCCCGACATCATAGCTCTCAAAGATGATTGTTTGCACTGATTCTTGAAGTTTCTTCACACTGAAAGGGCTACTAAAGAGGATATTGTTGGTAATAACATGGTCTCCTGTGGGGAAGTTGAAAAGAAGAAGACTATGATGGGGTACCTGAAAACCAGCTTTCCTCTTGGGCTGTTGCTAGATGCCCAGCAACCTGGAAGTGTGTCTGGACTAACTTTTCCAGAAACCTCATTAGTTCTGGTACTAAACAGTCCTTCTCTAAGGGAAGATCCCCAAATTTAGACTTTGTTTCTGGAATTCTTGAAGATTTAAACCAAGTGAACCTTCTGATAGAAATTGCAAAAACTACAGCTCTAACTGCAGAGTTGGAAGAATCAAGAGATGTTCCCAAGTCATATTTTGCCACTTGCTGACCCACCATAATGATGGCATTTGCGAGTTCTCTGTTAGTCTGGGAGAAGTTCAGTAGGCACTGCTATTTTTACCCAAATGTGGTATTGGTACAGCATGAACACTGCTTGTTACTTCACTACTCAGACCTAAAGTGGAGGAAGAGAAGGCTTCCCCCAACCCTCACAAATCCATCTTCTTTCCATCCTTACAATGAAGCAGTATAGAAGGACTGATCCACCTTTAGACTTCTGAACAGCCACTTATATCACCAGAGAGTTTGATAGTGTGCGTGTGTAGGAATAGGAGAAGCCATTTTGGGGTAAATGATATAATTTGTCTGTTTATTTTCAGATATTGGTTGAACTAAAGCTGGGCTTGCCCACATGAGCATCACAAGTTGTAGAATTCCATTTAATACTGCTGAGAGACTATACAATGTCAAAGTCTTCATATGAACTCTTTTCTTGAAGTAGTTGGTATTTTCCACTAATTCGAGAAAGGCAAGAGCATCTTCAGATGAAGATGAAGCAAAAATCACTCTCAAGTTTTCATCAAGGGATAGTCAATCATCAAATACAGGATCTGTTTCCTGAAGTTTGTGTAAAACCATCTACTCTCCATCTTCCAGTGTATCTTCCACTACAGTAGGGAATTGTTCTTCCTCCTTCAGTTTTACAGACAAATCCAGTATCTTTAGATGTGAAGGTTCAAAAGGAGACCAGCATTATCTGGTGCAATGATTGGAATGAAGGTATGAGTAATGTCAAGGAGCTGGCCAATAGTGCCGTCTCTGCCACGGCAGCATTCACCAGTCTAGCCAGTAATCAACAGTCTGATCAATTAATAAAAAAATAATAAATATCCTTCTTTGGGGCAGGCAAGACACTCTGTGACACTGATGCTGGGAAGCCTGAAGGGCAAGCAGCACAGGGCTTAACGCCCAGCTGCTTAATTTTTGGATCTGCCATCAAGGTTTCTTCCAGGACTAATGCTTGGAGCAGCCACCCTAACCCTAAAATCCTAATATAGTATAAAGTTTTGTTAGAATATGTTCAGATTTTTATTAAAGATAGCTGGGCAATTTAAGAAGGATTCAGAGCAATGATCTAGAGCAATTCCTAATCCATCACCGTTAGTAATTGGAAGGAACTGAATTGGCCAGACAGCCAGGCCCTCTTTCCCAGCCTCCCTCCTATGTGTTCAGGAACAGTGAGGAAAGGGGCAGGAGGGAGTGCAAGAGCACTCCAACAGGCACTCCTAGTTAAGGTTCCACTGTCTCAGCTCTATCCAGTTGGCATATCCCATGAATGAAAATATGAAGAAGCCACTCAAAGGAGAATTATTTCCTGATAATTTCATAGAGAAAAAAAGCTGATTATATACTGGGCATGGTTTCTATCCACTCAGCCTCCCAATCTTCATCTTGATGAAAAGAATAGGAGTTTTGCATTTACAAAATGCCTTTCATCTGAGCAACTCAAAGTGAGTCACAAACAATTAACTCTCACTGCACCATTGCGAGATGGGGAGCATCCAAATTTTACACAAACGCAGGGCATGTCTGCACTGCCCCGCAGTTCGGACTCTGGGGGTGCGAATAGCAGTGCACACCAAAGCGCTGCCCTGTAACTGCCCCATGCGGATGCTGCATGAGAACTAAAAGGTTCCTAGTTCCCATAACTTAATCCTCTTCAAAACAGGACCACGTTAATGTGAAGTAGCAATTGTTTAGTTTGCACCTGCAACATCCACACAGGGGAGTTACAGTGCAGCACTTTGGTGTGCACCGCTATTTACACCCCTGGAGTCAGAACTGTGGGGCAATGCAGAAGTGCCCTTATACACAGCTATGTTGACACTTTCCTGAGTTCACACAGCAAGGTGATGGCAAAGCTGAGAAGACAACCTAGGAGTCCCAACTCCCAGTTCCTTAATCTAACCACTAGACAGCCTCTTTCCTCAGATAGTTCTGTGCAATTAAACAAAGGTATTTGCTGTAGAGATGGATTATATGAAACTAAATAGAACAGAATGATCTGTGCAGCTTTAGTTCATGTCCAGCTGTCATTGTAACCAACAAAACCATTACTTATGTGGGCCCTAACACTAAAACACTTTCCTTAAGGTGATGGCTAAGTACCACTAAGGAACACACACTTACCTCAAGGCAAGCAAGGTGAACATCTTTTATAATACTGCCACTTTTAGATAAAACCAGCTGCTTTAGTAATAGACAGCCCAGTTCCAGTGTTGCAAGACGAACTTTTCCATCTAAAGTAAACGGTCAATTAGAATTATTGTACAGGGTATTTACTCAGGAGAAATCTCCTTTTTACTCAGAGGCTTTCCATGTGTTTTCCATTTCCCCCCCCCCCCCGACTATCCCCACAATGGCCACACACAACAAAACCAAAATATACTACAACACTATGATCTACACTCAGGCACATAAGATTATGACCTTGCAAAATAGTTCTCTCTCAAGAGAAAGTTGAGGTTATTTCTGTCACTGATGGAGTCCACTACTTCTCTGGGAGCTGTCAAATCACCATTGCCAGGAGACTCAGCCCCAGACACATAATAATACTAAAAGCAAATGTTTTGGCTTTGGGCTAATCCAGACTTCAGCAAACAGGATTTTTCAAACATTTGGGGAAAGGAAACCTTAAAAGCACTCTTCTCTCCCCATCCCCAGCCCACTCCTTCAGGTTGAAAAACTGTGCTACACCAGTGAAGCTTTCAGGAACAAAAGCATAATCATCATCATTCACTGTCATGGACCAGGATCTCATTGTGTTGACAATATACAAACACAAAAAACTGTCTCTGTCCCCAATCTAAATATAAGATAACAGACAACAAGTGTGTATCTTCTCTCATCTGTATCCACAACAGGTGGATTGATGGGAGAGAACAAACAGCCAACATTGGTCAGCATGACAAGCAGCAGTCTCAGCACACCAGCAGTCTAATTTACGTTTTTTCAAGGCATTAAGGAAAAGAGTTTTAAGGAGGGATTTGAAGGAGAACAATGAGGTAGCTTTGCAGATGTTATGGGTAGTCCCTCCTATGCATGATGGGCAACTTGGAAGAACACACAGGGTATTTATTTGAAAAACAACAAGTGTGCAGTTAAGGCTGGCATCGCTGAAAGAGCAGGAGTGGGAGTCAACATCTCAAAAGCATATGAGACAACAGGTAGCATGGGATAGGCAGTGAATGGCCTTGAAAGTGAAGACAAGTAACTTGTGTCTGATGTGGTGGGGAAGGGGGAGCCAGCGAAGGGATGCAAAGTGGCAAGTGACAGACAAAACAACAAGCTAGGAAAGTGATTGTTGCAGCAACATTTTAAATAGATATTTGCAAGGCAAGATTGCCTCTGGGGTGGGTGGGTGGGTGGGTGTGAGAGAGAGAGAGAATGTTGCCGTAGGCAAGATGAGGACTTGGATGAGAGTTTTAGTTGCGTGGATGATAAGAAATGCCATATCTTAGCAATATTATATTATGCAAAAGGAATTTGCCATGTCTAGATTCTCACATCTAGGCTGTGTTTAAATCTTGCAGAGAAGATGATGATGTCCAGATTACAGGGAGGATGTGCCTAGTGATAGGGAAAAGAGGGAGGGTGGCAGGATTTGGGGGGAAGATTAAGACCTCTGTTTTGGCCATGTTGATCTTAAACTGACAGCTAGACATCCATGAGATGTCAGAAGGACAGGAAGGGATTTTAGTTTAGACAGCAGATGGTGGTTCAGAGGAAAGGTAGATCTGACAATCCTCAGCATAAAGATCATAGTCTCATCCATGTTTCTGGATGAGGTAACAGAGAAAAACCATAGAGGACGAAGAGGACCAAAAACAAGGCCCTGTGGACCCCCATCCAGAGTTGGAGCAGGAGGAGGGAATAAGGAGACTTCTCTGAATCATGTCTAACACACTATCAATTTTGCCCAGCAGTGCTAATTATGGATTCCAAGGAAGTGCTTTTGTTTAAATAGAAACCAAACAGACTCTAGCCCTGCATACCTTCCTTCCGCAAGCACATGCACTCTCAGTACATGACATCATGCAGCCTAAGGAGGATGTTTGTGAGAGTCACTTATTAAAATACTGTCAGAGTATCACTGTTTATGTTCACTGAATTATATAATGTATTAGAAAAATCTGAAACGAGGTCACTGCAGAGTCTATACATGAAATATTAGCACAAGTTAATGACTTCACAGAATCACACCCTATTAAGTAAACAAGCATTTCAGATGTCCACTTATGCATGGCTGAGGACTTGATTGAAGTGCTTTGGTGTCATAGCATGGGGGGAGCAAAGTTGGGGAACGCTAGTTTCCTCATTGAGTCTTTCGGGGGGAGGTCGGAGTAAGGGGGGGAAGGCAGTGAAGAGCTAATGCTTGAACACAATGTTTCCATGAGTTACTTAATTTAGAAGAGATGAGATGACTAGAGCCATTAGAAAAACGGGTGTGTTCCTCCCCCCACCCGCACAAATTTGAACTTTATAAAAAAGAAAAACTTCAGTTTTCTGATTAAAAAACTGAAACATTCAAGGAAAGCAGACATCTTCTGTAAAAAAAAGTTAATTTAGCGGAATGCTCAATTTTGCATTAAAAACGTTGACTGAAAATTTGTAATCAGCCTAGAAATGAAGGGCAGCTACAAACTAAGGAGCTAAATACTGCAAAAATTACACATGGAAGTAACTTTACTCGCAGCAGTAGTTTTACTGAAGTGCATGCGTGCAGGATTGGGACCTAATATCAGTTACTAAAATGTAAACTCTCTCTCTAGTCACTGCTTGATGGACATTTTGCTTATGTAACAACAATAAGCAGGAACGCTAAGGTCTTAGGCCTCCCTGTTGTCTTGAATGCAACAGCAACTATTCAGATGAAAAGCAGAATTTCTACTTACTCTGCACCCCAGTGGAATGCCACCATGTGTCTCTTTCACAGGCCAGATCTGCTTATCATCTAACAAGAGCATGCTAGTTCCAGTTGAATAGCAGCGAGTCTCTTCCGCATGGGGAATGGGGCCAGTTACTTAGTACTTCAAATATTTTAAGCATTGACACTACATTTGAACTTTATAAAAACTTATTGCTGCACAAAAAAAGTAATCAATTAACGTGATCAGAAATGCTCTACCTGGTTGAGCAGCATAATTCATTATCCTGATGAGCCTTTCTGCAAGTACGTGGTTGTATGAGCTTTTCTCCTCAGCATGCTGGGCTGGAAGCTGAATTCTTTCCAGCTTGACTGGGTCAATTCCTTTTGAAGTGGAAGAAAATAGGAGGATATTTTTTAGCTAATAGCTATTAAAAATTGCAATAAGTCATCTTGAAAATGCAGAGTATCATAAACAATATAGAACTGCATTGGCATAGTGTAAAATTGTGACATTTGAATGGCTGTGCCACAGTTAGAAAAGAAATCAACAACAGAAGATTGAACAAGTTTTACAACCTTCCAGGTTGGGATATTCAAAAGGAGCCTGAGGGATGGAGGCACTCAAATCCCACTGAAATGGATGCCTAAACTTCTTCAGTTCCTTAGAAAATCATTTAAAATTATTATTACTTTGTTGACAACTGACCAAGTCATGTAAGGGTCCTGCTGGAAGTCTGATATAAGAAAACCAGACAACAAATTTTCTTGTGTGTTAAGATGAATTTCTCTTAACAACCAACAGTTACCAGGGAACAAACCAGATTAAAAGGCTCATAATTACAACTCCAAAATGCTAAACACACTAGCTTTTGTGAAAGTACCTACAAGAAATTAAAACAAATGCCAAGTTTTCATGCCAAGTTGGATTTCTCAGAATATGCTGGTTTGAAATATTACCCTTTATGAACAACATGTGTTACAGTAAGACCTCAGACAATGATTACAGACTGTGTTAAAAAGCTCATTGTCTTGATTCCAAGTAACTAAAACATTTCCACAATAGATCAGAACAATGTACTCCACTTTATTGAATTTCTTCCAACCCTTAACTCCTGCTTGCTAATCCAATCCATTGTCACTTGGGATGCCTTATGGTTATATCTTTTTTAAGTGTGCTTTTCGAAACACTTGATTTCAGTGTTTTAGTATAGCCTCACTTTATTTATTTGCCAGATAAAAGTAATTCCAACAGCTTGTATGGTAAAAGTAAACATTTATTTTGTGGCAGGTATGAAGCCTGTTTAACATCCTTCTTTCAAACAGTTTTGCATATTAGTTTTGCACAGTTACGCTGCTGACTGTAATTATAATTGGCTGATGCAATTGTTTTGTTTCCCACTAAAAACCTTAAAGAAAGGTTTGTTTGCAAGGGATTAAGCCATTTCTATTCATTTTGAAGTATGCAGCATTTTACCATACCCTGAAGTATGATTTGTGTAGTATGCTGGATTCAAAGCAAAGCATTCTGACTACAACAATGTAGTGGCAACACAGGATTCACAGGAGAAGTTTCCAGGTCTCATGTACTCCTTTCACAGTCAGAGTACACCTAGCCATAGGAACAGTCTATTCCCTGCCATCTCAAATACTGAGCATGGCTTGTTGTTCAAAAACATCATATTTTTATACCATAATCTTTATTACTTGTTACTGCTTGGACAATATGGTTTGAAAATTGTTAAAGACTTTATAAACAAAACTGAGGGGCATTAACAGTAATCACAAAAATGTGTGACTGACACTGTAGCGTGGAGGGTAATTGTGCCATTAGTAATGACATTTGCCTAAAGGGAGGGAAATAGATCAGCAGTAAAAGCCTTCTGCCAGCAAGTTACTATTTAAATATGTGACCAAATATTCAACTTCTGGGCTTTTTTAGATTTATTTAAGTGTGCAACATGTGTAATGAATAGAAACAAGGATGCAATGTGTATAGGTACAAGACAACACAATAATTCTAAATGAACACGCACTGACTTCACATACTTAGCATGTAAAACGGTTCTATATGGATTCCAGGGACACTATAGGGTCAATTTTCAGCTCGATAATGAACAAAATTAATTACTAGTAATTAGAATTCTGTGTGTGCTCTCACCCTTTGAAAAGTCCTACATTGCTTTGTTTAATCAGGTGACACTGATATGAAAACGTTTCCAAGCCTGCACTATTAATGATACATAGCTTGAGCACCTGAAAGTTGCCCTTCTAAAGCAACAGAGCACATGTCCTCAGATCTATTTACTGTAGAAATATGCAAATACAAATGCAAGCAGCTTCCATACATTGACACCCATTCTAACAAGAGCATCATTTGCTGGTAATTACCGGTACTTACATTTTAGATGCGTAAAATGCACCCCTAGATAGGGCTCAGGGTAGAAGTACATAACAAGTACATGCAAACACTTCCTTCAGAAGTGGACATAAAAGTAGCACTATTCCACAGAAACAGATACTCAACTACCATACCACAGTCAGAGCACTCTGTCTGACAACCAAGTCCCAAAGCCTTATAGGGCTTTATGGATCAAAGCCAACACTTTAACTCGGTGGTTCTCAATCTGTGGCCCGTGAGCTGCTTGCGGCCCAATCAGCACATCACTGCAGCCCATGTGACATCCTCAGGGCCATACAGGTAGTATTGGATGCGGCCCACAATGGTAAATAGTGCCTTAACTGAACCTGAAAGCAAATAGGAAGCCAGTCCAGCTTTTGAAGAACTATTGTTGCTTTTTACTATCACCACCTGAAAGGTGAGAAGTAGTCTTTCTACACTAACTTTCCAGTGGTCTTCAAATACAGCACATTGGATTATTGTAATCTAGAAGACAGTAGCTAACAAACCTCTCTATATGATTTCTCCACTAAAGGGAGACAAAGATAGACTGTTAACATGGGTTACATAATCCCCCAATTTAAGGAAGCTCATAACCAAAGTCTATAGAAGTTCAAATCCCTGTACGGGTCATCACTTGTAATTATGGCCTTGGCTGGATCATCATATACAGGGATTAAAACCAGGATTTAAAAACCATGAGCCTCTACTGCTAGAGCTAAAATTACAGGCTGCATTAGTTCAGAGACAGAAGGTTCAAACCTCCGTACATGGTCACTTATTAAAGGGGAAGTATCAACGCTACAGTTAGCATGGGTTACACAAGGGTTATTGTGGCAGGGCCATGACCAGGGGAAAATGGAACTAGCTCCTCGTCTCACATAAGTGGAAAAATATTATCGGCCAATGATGCCTCCTGTAATTCAAAACCCACAAAGAAAACAAATGAACCCCCAAATTGCAAATCTCTTGGGCCAAACATGGCCCAAGCCACACAATAACTGGAGCAAGACTCATTCCTGTAATGTCTTAAAAATTTCTTCTGCACACCATCACCATCTGTGTTATCCAGGCAGTTTTCAGCCAACTCACATCAAAATCTCAATTTCAGTTAGACACAGGGAATGGTGAGGTAAGACAGATGGAGCTGAATCCCATCCACACATCAGTGACATCACAACACAAACAATCTGAATTACCTCTAATGGTCTCAAATACATATTAAGCCAAAGGAATAACAAAATAGAGCCACAGGGAAGTTTGCCTGGTAAGCAATTGCCTAAAACCACATTTTGAGGCTTTTAAAAGTTCAGACTAGAACCCACTTAAAAGCACCCTAGTCAGGTCCCACAGAAGAATTAATAAACCTTATTGTCAATGGAATGCCAGCTGAAAGAAACAGCATGGACACCTGATCAAGATCAATCAGAAACCAGTGCCAACTCGATCATATCTAGGCTGAAAGACAAGATGGTAGGGTTCAAGGAATCTGAGGACAAGACACTCATTTTGCTACAACCTTCACAATAATCTTCACCAAAAAGAAAATAAAGCATGATTACTGGAAAGATTATCAGTCACAAAAATTGATTTTTGAATAATGACTGAAACTGCATAGTAGTATTATCCACATTCTACTACCTTTTAGGGAAGGCCTGGTCATTTACCAGCACTGGATGCAATTCCCCCCTTCTTACTATACTCAAAACATGAAGGTCAAAAAACCAGTTCCTTTTACAGTAGGTACTGGTTCTTTGTCTCCCTTTCAGAATTTCAATGAGCAGTATCTGCTGGAACTCATCCAGAGAAGACACTGCCTCTGTTCCTTCCAGGCACACATCTGCCCCCTACAATGGCTAGTTGCCAAGTTGGTGTCTAATTCATCTTATTTATGAAGAACTATAAAAAATCCCTCAGCATGAAAGATAGACTCGGCCAAAGAGTCAACATGACAGCAAAATATGTTAAAAGGAGACATACTGCTTGTCCATATCTAGGTCCCAGAGCAGGCCAAACTTTTAACAGAACAAATTTAATAACGGAACAAACAGAGAAGCAGGTCGTAAGGAAATGCCTTCAAATCCATATACACAGGAATACAGAAGTGATTATAGCTACTTTGCATGCCTATGACTAACTGATTTGGAACTGAGTTGCTTATGAAATTATATTCTGCAAAATAAGAATAGTCTGCAGAGAGATTATAGTCTGAGAATACACATTTGTGATCTCAAACTATGCTACTATTGTATTGTGTCCTAGCCCAATAAATGGGACTCTTAACTCCCCAAATTAGTCAAGCTAAAAGGATTATATTTGAAAGGAAGTGTTCTATATGTACAGGGACCAGAATTAAAATATTTATCTAGCTGGATAGTTGTAAGAAAGGGTTTAATGTTGGATGCTGAAGTTATTGCAGTCTAACTAGTGCCATTATAATAAACTAAACATATAAAACCCACATTCATCTGCTCTACTGGAAATTTTTTAACTCCTTGAAATTTCACATTTTACAGAATTTCTCAAATTAACTTCACACATGCTGCACCCAAAAATGTACAGCTAACTGTATCTGATTTCATTTACATAATGTAATGAGAGCCTGATTTTTTTTTAAAGTATTGGCAGTCTAGCATTATTAATGCCCTTCAACATGAACTGCAAATGTAGCAGGTCAATGTTTTGCAACTCCAAGCTAGATGATCCCAATAAACCATGGGGTAAGGCGTATTTGGTACATAATGAACTTAAGACCTCACTCTTCATTTTCTTTTATAAGACTTGATTTGTCACCAATCCCTGGCTTACATCCTTAAAATACTCAATCTGCATTATTTTGGTCCTATCACATCCACTACACAATTCCAGCTGGAAAATGGAGCCACACAACAGACAAATCCATTTCTTCTCTCCACAGCGTGTGGTTCTGTAGAATTATTTTTAACCAGTTTCAAAACCTAATTTTCTATCCCCCTGGGAAAAAAAGTTGTCCACAGTTTTATAGTCTCTCCACCCACGTGTCCATAACTCTTAATTGGTTGTAAAATTAAAACATTCTGGACTTGTGCCCTCACCTTTCAGGACTTCTATCATCAATCTACTTGCCTTTTTCCTCACCTGAACCTGTTCAAAGTGTTAAGAGAAATGCCTCTACCACTTTATTGAAGTCATAGTCTTTCCCCCCCCACACACACAGTGCTGTCCTGAAATGCTGAGTTTTTGTTCAACTGATTTCAGTTGAAGGCAGTCTGTTTCAGGAGTTGAAAGTTGAAATTCAATAAAAATGCCATTTCAGAAAGATGCAAGAGGTGAAGTGGAAGTAGAATTTTCTGTTGGAAACTTGAACCAGAATTCGTTTTGATTAGGGCTGTTGATTAATCGAGATTAATTGCAGTTTTAATCACACTGTTAAATAATAATAGAATACCATTTATTTAAATACTTTGGATGTTTTTCTACATTTTCAAATATATTGATCTCAATTACAACCCAGAATACAAGATGTCCACTGCTCACTTTATATTATTTTTTATTACAAATATTTGCACTGTAAAAATGATCAACAAAAGAAAGTATTTTTCAGTTCATCTCAGACAAGTACTGTAGTGCAATCTCTTATCGTGAAAGTGCAACTTACAAATGTAGATTGTTTTTTGTTACATAACTTCACTGAAAAACAAAATAATGCAAAACTTTAGAGCCTACAAGTCCACTCAGTCCTACTTCTCGTTCAGTCAATCGTTAAGACAAACAAGTTTGTTTACATTTATGGGAAATAATGCTGCCCTCTTTTATTTACAATGTCACCAGAAAGTGAGAATTGTAGCCGGCATTGCAAGGTATTTATATGCCAGATATGTTAAGAACATAAGAACGGCCATACTGGGTCAGACCAAAGGTCCATCTATCAACAGTGGCCAATGCCAGATGCCCCAGAGGAAGTGAACCTAACAGGTAATGATCAAGTGATCTCTCTCCTGCCATCCATCTCCATCCTCTGACAAACAGAGGCTAGGGACACCATTCCTTAACCCATCCTGGCTAATAGCGATTAATGGACTTAACCTCCATGAATTTATCCAGTTCTCTTTTAAGCACTGTTATAGTCCTAGCCTTCACAACCTCCTCAGGCAAGGAATTCCACAAGTTGACTGTGCGCTGTGTGAAGAAGAACTTCCTTTTATTTGTTTTAAACCTGCTGCCCATCACTTTCATTTGGTGGCCCCTAGTTCTTGTATTATGGGAATAAGTAAATAACTTTTCCTTATCTACTTTCTCCATATCACTCATGATTTTATATACCTCTATCATATCCCCCCTTAGTCTCCTCTTTTCCAAGCTGAAAAGTCCTAGCCTCCTTAATCTCTCCTCATATGGGACCCATCCCAAACCCCTAATCATTTTAGTTGCCCTTCTCTGAACCTTTTCTAGTGCCAGTATATCTTTTTTGAGATGAGGAGACCACATCTGTACACAGTATTCAAGTTGTGGGCATACCATTGATTTATATAAGGGCAATAACATATTCTCTGTCTGATTCTCTATCCCCTTTTGAATGATTCCTAACATCCTGTTTGCTTTTTTGACTGCCTCTGCACACTGAGTGGACGTCTTCAGAGAACTATCCACGATGACTCCAAGATCTTTTTCCTGATTAGTTGTAGCTAAATTAGCCCCCATCATATTGTATGTATAGAATCATAGAATATGAGGGTTGGAAGGGACCTCAGGAGGTCATCTAGTCCAACCCCCTGCTCAAAGCAGGACCAATCCCCAGACAGATTTTTGCCCCAGATCCCTAAATGGCCCCCTCAAGGATTGAACTCACAACCCTGGGTTTAGCAGGCCAATGTTCAAAGCACTGAGCTATCCCTCCCCCGATTTATAGTTGGGGTTATTTTTTCCAATGTGCATTACTTTACATTTATCCACATGACATTTCATTTGCCATTTTGTTGCCCAATCACTTAGTTTTGTGAGATCTTTTTGAAGTTCTTCACAGTCTGCTTTGGTCTTAACTATCTTGAGCAGTTTAGTATCATCTGCAAACTTTGCCACCTCACTTTTTACCCCTTTCTCCAGACCATTTATGAGTAAGTTGAATAGGATTGGTCCTAGGACTGACCCTTGGGGAACACCACTAGTTATCCCTCTCCATTCTGAGAATTTACCATTTATTCCTACCTTTGTTCCCTGTCTTTTAATCAGTTCTCAATCCATGAAAGGACCTTCCCTTTTATCCCATGACAACTTAATTTACGTAAGAGCCTTTGGTGAGGGACCTTGTCAAAGGCTTTCTGGAAATCTAAGTATACTATGTCCACTGGATCCCCCTTGTCCACATGTTTGTTGACCCCTTCAAAGAACTCTAATAGATTAAATCATGGAAAATCAGGGCTGGAAGGGACCTCAGGAGTCATCTAGTCCAACCCCCTGCTCAAAGCAGGACCAATACCCAGACAGATTTTTACCCCAGATCCCTAAATGGCCCCCTCAAGGATTGAACTCACAACCCTGGGTTTAGCAGGCCAATGCTCAAACCACTGAGCTCTCTCTTCCCCCCTCCCTCCCCCCCCGGCCCCATAAGACACGATTTCCCTTTACAGAAACCATGTTGACTTTTGCCCAACAATTTATGTTCTTCTATGTGTTAAACATTCATATATCTCTTCATGCTTCAGCCACCATTCCAGAGGACATGCTTCCATGCTGATGACGCTCGTTAAAAAAATAACGCGTTAATTAAATATATTTCATGTTATAACAGTCTCGGATGATGACTTAGTACATGTTGTTCATTTTAAGAACACTTTCACTGCAGATTTCACAAAATGCAAAGAAGGCACCAATGTGAGATTTCTAAAGATAGCTACAGCACTCGACCCAATGTTTAAGAATATGAAGTGCCTTCCAAAATCTGAGAGGCATGAGGTGTAGAGCATATTTTCAGAAGTCTTAAAAGAGCAACACTCCGATGTGGAAACTACAGAACCCGAACCACCAAAAAAGAAAATCAATCTTCTGTTGGTGGCATCTGACTCAGATGATGAAAATGAACATGCGTTGGTCTGCACTGTTTTGGATTGTTATTGAGCAGAACCCATCATCAGCATGGATGCATGCCCTCTGGAATGGTGGTTGAAGCATGAAGGAATATATGAATCTTTAGCGCATCTGGCACGTAAATATCTTGCAACGCCAGCTACAACAGTGCCATGCGAACGCCTGTTCTCATTTTCAGTGACATTGTGAACAAGAAGCAGGCAGCATTATCTCCTGCAAATGTAAACAAACTTGTTTGTCTGAGCCATTGGCTGAACAAGAAGTAGGGTCTAAAGTTTTACACTGTTTTATTTATTAATGCAGGGTTTTTTTGTACATAATTCTACATTTGTAAGTTTAACTTTCATGATAAAGAGATCACACTTCAGTACTTGTATTAGGTGAATTAAAAATACTATTTCTTTTGCTTTTTTACAGTGCAAATATTTGTAATCAAAAATAAATATAAAGTGAGCACTGTACACTTTGTATTCTGTTATAATTGAAATCAATATATTTGAAAAATGTAGAAAACATTCAAAATATTTAAATAAATGGTGTTATTAACAGTGCAATTAATCACTAAATTTTTTAATCACTTGACAGCTCTAATTTTGATGATTAACTGAATTGTATTTGTCATGGTTCAATACTTCCATACACAACATTCGTTTCTATATTATGCAGACATTTGATGCATTTTATCTATCAGGACTTCCTGGAATTCTGACATTAGCATTCAGTTTCCATTATTGTGTGTGTCATATGTTCAAATCCTTTCACAATGAAAAATCCATTAAAGTTGCATCTGTTCATTACAAGATAATCAGCAGTAAAGCCAACTCTGCAGCTACCCCAAGTAATGTCACATATACAAGTGTATGAACCAACTGCAAAAAAGTATTAAAAGCAAAAAAAACCTTCATAATAAAATCTCTAAAACTGAAACCAAAGAATTATGATGCAACATATTTGTAGCTGTTGAGGACAAAGAAAATGGTGTCATTAACAAAGAATGAATTAAGGACTTGTGGAATTGAGTACCAATAGCAGGCCACAGTAAACTTTCAAAAATAAGGGGCCTAATTCTCCACTGCCTTGCACATCCTGTAGTAATTTACACCTGAGCAAAGGGTAAAATGCTACCAAGTCGGAATTCTTCACTCATACCAGTGGCAGTATTTTACACCCACTTTTCACTCACTTCAACCACGTGTCTGTGAAAGTCAGGGGAGAATCAGGGCCCCAGTGTTCATACTGAACATACAGTATTTTGTTAGTCCAGCTTAAGAGTACTGAAGTCAAGTAACTGAGAATGAAGTGCAAATGAGTCTAATTCATTTCTAGTTCTAGGAAACCAAACGAAGAAACAAACCATCTAAACAATAATAGCATTCTATTAACAATTCATCTAAAATGCAGATCCTACACAACCTTTACTGTCACTGCATTTGTTTTTCCTTTCGTCATATGAAGATTTTGTTTCTTGTGGTTTAAGTCATCTAGAAAAAAACATATGTACTTCACTGAAGAAATGTTTACCAAACTAAGACCACTGACTGCAGTCAAGTCTCTTTTATTCTCCTTTCTGTGGAAAGACACATTTAAGAGTATCCAAAGTAATTAACATCTTACCTTTATTTTGAGACATTGCATACAGAAGACAAAGTACAAAGAGAGCATAGTAATCATCTTCAGCACAGTCCTGTGCATTATATACCATATCGAAAAAAGGCCTGTGGAAAAGAGTAGTATTAAAATGGTTGTTTTGTTCTGATGCTAATTGTAACATAGCCTGTGCCATTACCTACCTATGGAACAGAATGACTCACTATCCAACTATGCCCCAATTTTCTCTTTAGATATGGTAAAGAGCAAAAGTCAAGCTGCTTGAAAGCAGTTATTCTATTGTGTTTATTACTGGTATTACATCTGGCATTTTAGCAGGAATTTTCCCCACACCCTCCCAAATGGTTGCCCTCACTTATAATGGGTTATCTTTCAGGCCCAACGTTCCCTAGCACTGGGGCCTTAAAATAAACAGGGGGGAAAAATTACAGATTAGACATTCCACAGTTTGTTCTAAGCAAACATGGCGAACTTCAGGGGGTTGTTTATACCTGTGTGTGACACAAAACTGCATTGGAACATATGGAAAACTAAGGACCAATGAACAACTTTGAGATGGTTACACCATTGGTTAGTATAAATAAAAGCACTGTTTACTAGAACAGAGCTACAGGTTTTACTCTAAGCCATGTATGGAGGAAAAGATTATCCTTCCTATGTGGAGGAACAGAAGTCTAAAAGAAGAAACCTGAGCTATTTAAATTGATTTCCAACCACTCTGTTATCTTGGGTTCGATGTGGGGTGATTCAGTGACTAGTGCACGAGACTTTACACAATCAAGTCGTGACAAAGTTGTGGCCAAGTAAGTAGATACTTTCAAAACTCAATTTCTGGACTAAATAGACATCTGGAAAAAAGAGCTCGGGCACAGTGGAGCAGCTATCAGCTCCAAACGGATTTTTATATAAAAAGCATTCCATCGTGTGTAACTAACAAAACCAAAAACTAGGTTCTGAGGCCTGCTTTGCAGTCTTTTTTGTAGAGCATGGCTAAAGTCGTCCTGTTTTGTACAATCACTCTTTGTTTCTCTACAGTCTCTACTATAGCAACATACTTGGCTTTAATTTCAGACAACCTAAATAGGAAGGTGCATCTGAAGTGAGGTTTTTTTACCCACGAAAGCTTATGCCCAAATAAATCCATTAGTCTTTAAGGTGCCACCGGACTCCTCGTTGTTTAAATAGGAAGCAGAGTTTAGTTGGGGACAACACTTCAAAGGAGGCTGGGTCAGAAGTGAGATACCAAGCTTCAGCACTATTTTAGCACTTTTCACTTTCAGAAAGCTAATAATTACAATACTGCAGTTAGATAAACATGTACCCTGGTTCTACAGATGAACTGAGGCAGTTTAAATAACTTGTCCAGATCCAGAGGCAGTCAGTAAGCACTGGGACTAGAACTCAGCAAGGTTTACCAGTTTGAGCACAGAGACAAGAACTCCTATCTCTATGTTTTAAAGTTCGTTAACAATTAAATACATTAAGCCATTCTGAGAGCCTGTGATCAAGGCTGATGTGCTAATGAGGGCCTGAGGCCAGTTAGGTCACCTGGCATCACCTGAGAGGAGGGCAGCCAGGTTTAAATTGAGAATGAAGCTCAGCTGGAGAAGGGATGGGACAGCACTATAAAACCGGAAAACTGAGAGTAGAAGGGGGCTGTAGAGGAAGGCGTCTACCCTCCCCGGGATGAGGGAGGTTATCAGGGACAAGGAGGAAGCAGAGGGAGAGCAAGCCCTCTGAGCCTGTCTTGGAGTAAGTAGTGTGGCAAGAGGCTAGGAGGGGTGAAGTATCCACAGCGAGTAGAGTAAGCTCCAGTGATAAACCCAGAACCAGGAAAGAGAAAAGAGAGAGGCTTGGTAGGAAGTAGCCCAGGGAAACAGCAACAGGGACTGAGAACCTGGATTACTAGTTATAGAGTCTCTGGGCTGGAACCTGGTGTAACAGACAGGCCTGGGTTCCCCTGCCAGACACTGGCACAGAATCCTGAGCTGGGGCTGAACACTGTCTGGCAACAGCATTTGAACAGTTGAGTCCGGAAGGAGTGGACTAAATGGTGACCTGGCCAGAGGGCTAAGTTTCCAGAACAAAGGCTATTACAGAATGAGCAATGAGCAGGAAGATGACAGTTGGTGCAGTGAGCTTCATTCCCTGACCTAGATGCAAGGAGGCTTGCTGTAGTGAGTGGAACCCCTTCACAGAGCCATAAAAATATTAGGCATCAGAAACATGTACAATGAAGTGTACAATATGACAAGTAGGAATTGATTACATTGGACTGAAAGTATGAAATGCTTTAATACTAATAATAAAGCCCAGAGTAGAAAAATGAATACTGCTCCCATCCTCTCAATACCACCACAATAAAAGACAACCCTGGATGTTCCTTTGGATACAAGAGAAGCAGTCACTATGCAAGCAAGTTTCACTGCATTTTTCCAGCCCCTCCTGCCACTAGTTTAGCCATGATCACCGCATATAACCTACAATCAGGCATTTCGAATGTGTGGTCTCCTATAAAAAACACATTTACTGCATCTATAAACAATTCAGCCATTTGCTGTATTCCCTTCAACTATACAAGTATTAACTAGAAGTCAGGTAGGTCAGAGAACATTGGAAGTACAGACATGACTTAAAAGTTCCTCCCCCATCCATCCTCACACAAAAATAGCTTGGGAGGAACAGAGATCCTGAGCCATAATGTCCTGCCTTAGTAGGAGGTGTGAACTTGATGGTCATATATGCCCTGTCCCAACTACTGTACTATGATTTTAGGTACATCAGGGCAGTACAACAAAATCCAATTTGTCATTTGGATACTGTTTATGTAGCAAATATTGTGTTGACAAATATATTTCCCAGTTATTTTTGCTCCCACTAACGATGATTAATGGGTGCTCTATTTGAAGGATCAGACTGGAAATGATTTTTTAAATTTCTGCAGATCTCCAAATTCTAGTACCTTCCCCAATGTTAAACAAATGTTAATATCTACTGGGATTCTATGTATCCCCAAATTGATCCACCTTAGCATTCAAATGTCGAGCACAGTAAAAGTTGCAAAATGAAGGTTTGTTTACACAAAATATTGTTAAATTTCATGCTTTATAGAGCTGGATCTACATTAGACATCATTTAAAAAACATTTGCCAATGCAGACCACACTCAGTTACCACACTTTCCACCAATGTGCCAAAACTTTTGGTAAGTGCAGATTTCGCTATGACATATGTAGTGATCAATTAGATTGGATAACCAAATAGGAAAGAAGATATCTTTATACACAGATCCAATCTTTAATGCAAAAAATACTTCATCAAGTTTGTTTCATTGGGGGGTGGGGGGGGGGCGAAGAGAAGGATTCAAATAGTGTTTAGAATGCTGAGGTATCAAAAAAATTCCAAGATTTTAACTGTTTATTCATCTCGTAACTGAATAATTCACTTAAAACTTTTTGTTAGTGCAGTATTTTACTTTGCTAAGTCTAGGAATACTTCCCTTACATATGTGATAAGATCTACTCTTGCTTTTAGACGTGCTTCACTTCTGCACAGATGACATTTGAACGAAGATGCAAGATGCTGTTCGATCGCTATCTATATTCTCATCTGTCCTGAAATGCAAATATCTGACAAGGTGTTAGGATGATCAAATGAATATTTTGCATTTTGAAGACTTAAAAGCTAATATTCTAATATCTTCAGGCACTGTACTTAGTACTATCATGGCCAACTTCATTTTATAAGAAGTGGTAAACCAGAATCTCTTGCTCACTCACACTTTACTTAAAAAACCCTATGCTGCCCACACTTGCTAGTAACTGTAACATTATGTTCCCGTTACTGTCACCCATCTTTACTCTTCATGAGCCTTCATATGTGTCCCATTTGACAATTAGACAAGTGTGGTAGAGGTACTCTTTTACTGGACCAACTTCTGTTGGTGAAAGAGACAAGCTCTCAAGCTTACACAGAGCACTTCCCTAAAGAAGCGCGCCACGTAAGCTTGAAAGCTTGTCTCTTTCACCAGTGGATGTTGGTCCAGTAAAAAAAGATTACCTCACCTACCTTGTCTACAACACTGCAAACCACTTGGATAAAAAAAATGTTATTGTCAATGTGTTCTGTTTACCAAAATTGCTATTGATCTCCCCAGCATCCAAACCAAACTACTGCAGGGTATGGTGACATCTAAAAAGTCATTTACCCAACACGGGGGGGGAAAAGTAGAACAGGATACTCTAGGACACAGTAGAAAAAATTACGTCAAAAAACAGAATCAAGATTTTACTTTAAAAAAAATTTAAATCATTTACATGTTACTAATTCCTTAGCAATTTAAGACAATCAAATGGGAAGAAAAAGTGAACATTTTGCATTTTCTTTAGTTTCCTAATTGTTAGTAGTATTTCAGATTTTAACTGCTAAGAATTTTCACACTTAAAATGCTCTTCTGCACCAAAAAGATTAACGTCCTTGCTGCGAGACTCCCACCTAGCATATTGGAATCCCGATCTCAACTGAGGTTTCTGGGTACTACTGTAAGAAAAGTGGCAAACCAAAAGACATACAAAACACATCCTCAGAACACAGTTTGTGTGTTACATGTAATGCTTCCTATTCTGGCATACAGCAACATACAGAACTGCTTTAAGACAAAGCATCCCTTTCAGGCAGGGAAACTGAATACAGCAGCCTCCAGGGAGTGAAGAGGATAGACACTGCTTCCTTACTGCCACACCTTCAACATGACCATATACAAGACAGCTACACCAGTCAAATGCAAATGTTTGGATGAGCCATAAGTTGGAGGGGGGAGGGGAACAAAATTGGAAAAAGAAAAAAAGAAGCAGAAGGAAGGAACCTAGTCAGATGAATTACAATTCTTTCATACCTGCTCCAGTTTGTCTTTTCACTCCCAGAGGCAGCAGCACTCTTTTCTTCATCAGTTGTATTCTGCTCTGTCACCGTTGAGATAGATAATTCTGACATCTTACACCGCTCCATGATTACCATCTCTATTTCTTAAAAGAAAGAGCTAAAATTGAATTTCTAGAGGAAGAGGTGAGCTATTTGAAGTATTCTTTATGCAAAATGTAAAAAATAGTGATTTTTAAAGTGTTATGCACCTAAAAATGAGGGAAGACACTGCTCATGTGTCAGAATATACACAGAGGCCTTTCTGATTTTCCTACCATCACAACAAAATATTAAAAAGCATTTCTTATAAGATTTAATATGCACTCGGGGCTTCAGAACTGATGGTGTAATTATTTATGAATATAAAAGCCTTTACAAAACTGTTAACTGCCAAGCATTTTAACAGCTTTTTTAAAATGGTCTGTATTTGCCAAAAACCTATTTACACTTTCAATTATCTCAGGGGCTTTAAGTGAAAAATTGTTCACTCTGTGCCCAAACATAATAAATCTAGTGTATATATAATAGCTTCAGATTTTATAAAAAGTACACTGGAGCACACACACACAAAAAGGTGGAGGGAAACAGTATGTGGAATTTAAAGGAGTACAGTTGTTACTGTAGTAACTAATGCAAACAAACTGTTTATGACTAATATTTCAGGTTCTGAGTATGAAACTATTACGTTTCAAAGTCTTTCAACAAGTCGTCTATAGACACAGACACTTCCTCCACAATACTGAGGAAATTCAGTTTTGGCAAAGGTCTCCCTAAATTTCTTTAAGTGTAAGCTAAAGAAAACACTGATGTATTGAGACTTTTTTCCAGTAAACATCAATTTGTGCATACAGGCAGTTTGTAAAGCAATTCGCCTAAGAGCCACTCTTCCCCTGACACAAGGAGTTACTTGTGGTTCTTCACCGGTGACGTCAAAACTTCATTCCCTCACAGACAGCAATGGCAGCCCTAAGCTACCATTAGATTTAGACTGCATATTTAGTCACACAAGAAACTCCTCACTGCCGGACAGCCGATAGATCCACTAAGAGCTGCCAACTGATTGACTTTAGTGCCCTGTAATCACTTGTACCCTCTGATCCTTTCCTCTCCAGTGCATGGTCCAGCGCTAGAAGGCAACATGCCATACAGAAAAGACTGTTTCAGACCCTGAAAACTTAAACTTTCTAAGTGCTGGCTCACTTGTTTACATCCCCACAGACTGTGTGCTCACTGGCACCAGGATCAAGCACCAGAGATCTAACAGGTATGCAGAGGCTGAGTAGCTTAGTCACAGGTGAAGTGGGCAGGGGATAGGGGCCTATGCATCCCTCTCTGCACACAGACCCACTTGACAGATCTGCATGTCACTCAGATTTATTTAACAAATTGCTATTGATCATCCTTATAGCATACAAACGACCATACCCCTACACCCGATATCCTGAAATCTAGAGAAAACATAACTTTCTGGCCACAGCTTGTACTACAGCATTATAATGCAGCAGGATTTTGACTGACGGGGCCATGGAGAGGCAAAATTTAGTCCTGACAATTTCCAAACCTCTGGACCATGTCCCTGGATCCCTCCCCTACATGATATTGAGCTGTGTTTTTCCAAGGCAGTCCTGTTAAGAGTATTCCCCTCTATACACATTTGTAAACATCTACCGTTTTCTCAAACAAAAACAGTCTCTACCAAGTAAGGGGAAAACATTTGAAAGGGTAAGTTTTAGAGTAAAACTAGTAAGAGGCTACATAAACAAATAAGAAAAACCAAACCAACCATGAAAGAACAAGATGTTACTAAAAGGATACTTCAGTATATCTATGTACCAAGATTCTAGGATTATCACTCTGAAGCCTAGAATGTCTGCGGAGTCAGTGTGAAGTGATGGAACAGTTACAATCATGACAGATCTTTTTGTTCAGAATATCACCAGGTTGAATCATCACTCAGCTTCATGGTCCATTACTGCCCAATTTTGAAATTCTCAGCCATTTATGGCCCTTTTTCATTTTTAAACATATGACAATGAATTATACCCATGCAACAGCACAGGCTTTGAGCTATTAGTATAGGAACATCAAACAAATTACGCTGAATTGTAACTAGCCATGCTACTAACTAAGTTCTCTCCTACCCCCTCCCTTAGACATCTCAAAAATCCAAAACTCTACTGTCAGTAGGCTTAGCAGTTCAAACCCACAGCCAATCATTCCCCTGGCAGTGACAACTAATTCCTCAAGCCAGCTACTCTACTCTCAGCCCTACAGTCCACTCAGAATAATCTGGGACTTTGCTTCTACCCCCAGGACAAAGGTCACCCACCCCAAAGACATGATTCACTCTGATTCTTCGTTTTTCCTGTTTCCTCAGGAAAGTCTAGCATGCATGTTTCCTTGGCAACTGGCATGCAGACAGTATAATGTTCTGACACTTGTGCCATTTAATAGCCTAGAATCCTAGCAAAATAATGGAATACAAAATTTCCTTGAGCATATGTGGTTTGTAAGGGAAGAGTTTTTGATAGTTACTGGCCCAGAAGCGATAGGAAAAGAAATTTAATCCATGTTTATCAAAGCCACATTTATGGGGAGAAACAAAATCTGTGGTGTGTGTTTTTTTAAAATGGCAGTGGTGGAGACTCTGACAAAGTAGAAATGTTAGTTGTAGTCTCAGCAGAGTTAGATTGGTGTGCATAGTGCATAGGTCAGAAGTAAAGATGACATGCAATTTAGCTCCTATAATAAATTTGTTTCCATGGCTGTAAAAATGAATTCACATTTTTATCATGCCCACATACATGATTCCAAGGAGCAGCAGCAACAGAAAAAAAAAAAAAAAAAAAAAAAAAAAAAAAAAAAAAAAAAAAAAAAGAGTAAAGGTCAGACTTCAAGATACAGTCTCATTCTGGGGCATGCATGTAGTTCCATGGGACGATAATATGGATCAGGTGGTTATACTCGTGAAGGAAAAAAAAAAAAAAAAAAGATAGCCAAATCAGCTCAAACCAATTAAGGAAGTGCCATTCCCAACAATTATACAGGGCAAATTAACTCAAACTCAAACAAAGATATTTTTCCATCAGCTATAGCCAATATAAATAGATTCCTAGCCAACAGATTCCGCCTACTCCTCTCTCTAATTTGCTCAATGCAAATCAACTTAGATGCAGTACCTGGTTACCAGTGAACTCTTGTAATTTTATAGTTCAGGTGCTAAGGATCAAAGTCTCACTGAGTCAGTGGATTGGTCAGGACTTCTAATTTCCTAGGCTAACCTAGGTACATATGAACTTAACCTTACGAATAACAGAAACAAACTAGAACAAAGTGTTTATTAAAAATATTAGCACAAAGAGAAGTTACTCCAATGTGATAGTTGCTAGACCTGTTTTTACAGATGAATTAAAGCAGTAATTTGCAAACAGGCCTGTGGCTCTTATTTAAAGCTATTAAGTCACACTAAGTGATCACTACAGTACTTCCCAAATGTTTTCCTAATATTACTTTTTCACATAAATTGCTGTAATTGCCAGAGGGATGTCATGGGATTGCAAATGGGAGATAAGGTGATGCACAACACAGTAAGTTGTGGTCCACATTGCAAAAAAAAGTTTGAGTGAAAGCAGAGTAGATGAGTAAGATATTTAGTTTCACTTAGCTACAAAAGCCTTAACATGCATTTCCATCCTAAGACAACAGTATACTAACATTACTAAGCTTTACAACACCTTTGCTGGATAAGTAGTATCCCCATATTATAGAAGTGGAAACTGACAGGGTTAAATAAGAGACTGTCCCAACCTTGCACAGCAAGTCAGTAACATAGTTAGGGTTAGTAGTACCCTATTATTTTTGCTCTTGTACCTTCTCATGCTGTCCCCTGCAACTAGAATGGCATCTCTATTCTTTCTGCTAAACATCCTCAGTCTCCTTGAAATCCTGCCTCAAGACCCACATTTGAGCTTAATAACCACCACTTCCACTGCTGTTCAGCTTAAGCCTCTCCTCAGTTACTATGTATGGCCCACAACTTTTGTTCCAGCCCTCACTCTCCCTTTCCTTTACACCAATTTTTTTTTTATGTTGTAGGTTTGCCTAATTTGGATTTAAAGCTTTTCAAGGTAAATACTATAGAAATGCTGAAGATTAAATTATAAAAGCTATATCACTATCATAAACTTATGAGAACAGCCCCAATACGCCAGGAAGCAGTATACACATGCTTTACAGTATGTGGAGTCATGGAACAACGCCCAACACGCGATACTTGGAATCAGGGAACAAAGCCCAGTAAACAACACTACATTGATTAGCATTACACTACTTGTTTGGAATTAGACACTCAGTAAGTAACTACCTGGTTAATGCTATGCTATGTACTAGGGGATTACCGAGGAGGATCATAAACATTATGAAAACTACCCACTAAAGTCCTGTCTCCACTATAAAGAAACCAGGTTAAAGTGAGAGCTGTTCTGAAACACTTTCTAGTAGGGTTCTGACACTGTTGTAAGAAGATTTTAAGTTGTAGTATGGATGCAAGCCATGTTAATGACCTTTAACCCACTTTAAGTGTTTTAGAAAAACATTTTACACACTTCTCCCAGTTTAATATATTAGGCGCAAACTAAGATTTTTGCCCTCACTTCTCTAGCTTGGTCCCTTCTTACCCCAAAATTCATTTGTTAAGCCTCTTGAGAAACTGGGAAGAGGAAGAATCAAAAAATGCACTTCGTGAGCACAGGAGTTTGATTATGTAATTTGAACAAAAAAAATGACAATACACAGTCATTACATGCATTCTATTTAGTATCATTTACATGAAGTCAGAATGAAGAACTTGGAAGTTCTTTTCGGACAGATTAGTTACACAAATCAAAATGCAAGCAGGATATGAAAAAAGGGCTGCCAAAGAAGTCATAGCATAGGGAAAAAAAATTGTATTGTGGTATATGCTTCCTTAGATGCAGTGCTGTCATCACGGTCTCATTTTATGCATAAAAACTCTATTTTTTGATATGCATTTTCCTCTTAACTAGTAACTTAAAATAACGAAAGTAACTGAAGAGCATGTCTTTCTGGTGCAGCACCCAATACTTTGACTCTAACGATTCAAGCATGATAGTTCTGTGAAGCAACTAGAATGCACATCAATCAGGTAATTAAATAAAAAAATTGAGGGATTTTTTCTTTAATTTTGTACAGTAGGCACAGGTAGAGATGTGGCAATGCTTGGTTTACTCATTGCCAGTCAACATAGGATGCTTGACTTCTCGGGGGCTTTTTAACCCCCTTTGCTTCTCCACTAACAAATGACGCAGACTTGTTAATAAGTCTTAAAACACTGATTAATCATGTGCAGCTAGCTATAAGGTGTATGTGTTATTAAAGGCTGGATGCCACAGGAGAAACTGCAGACACTTCACATTTTCCACCAAGTAAAACACAGTCTTCTTCTAAAGAGCTGAATTCTACACGAAGGAGATGTTAAAAAAAATAAGCAAGAATCATTTCCTTAGATGTGGAAAATCTAATGATTCTGTTTATTTAGTTATGCAACCAGTATTATAAATGAACATAAAATATGAACTAGACCACAAACATGTGATACTATTAAATTATTAGCATATATAAAGTTTGCATGGTTTTCATTCATTGGTGCACTCACCTTCATTTTCCCCACTTGCCTTGATGCCTTTTGAACTACCCTCTGTACCTTTAGCCTTATCTGGGTCTTCTTGAGTATCCTCAAGTCCTCTCTCCTCTTCATCCTCTTCACCAACATTTTTATAGTTGGGTCTTTTTTGCAACCTCTTCTTTCCCTTATGCTTGTTAATTTCAAGAGATCTCTCCAGTGTCTCTGTAGGTTTTATGAAGCATCTGATGCTTGATTTTGCCTATTAAATTTAAATGAGATACAGTTTTAGCTATAGATTTCTTCTGCAATTTAGCACAAAATGGGTAGAAGTCACTTCAGTTTGCACAAGACAGATTTACAAATCTATTAAGCATTTCACCTACACATGTCAAATTTAGCTTAAAAAAGGCCAGAAAGATTTAACAATATCTAAATTATCAGTAGTTCCAGGCCTCCTACAAAATAGAAGTATTCTAATCCTAAGGACTTAGTAGCGTTAGGAAACATGACCATTTCAGGACAAGCAAGATCTAGATCCATCTATTAAACAGGACCACTTTAAAATCATGTACCATCAAGAAAAAAATTCTCAAAAAGTAAACCTTGTTTTTTGGCACACAACAGCATACAATGCTAAACTAAATCAAGTCCCACTGATGCTACAAACTGCAGCAGTTGCTGTTTGAATTAGACCATGCAGGAGACAGAGCTCAGAGAGGACTCAAACAAAAGCCTATTGCACAAACAGGAAGGAATGAGATAGTAAAAAAACAAACAAAAATATGGGGCTGAGGAACACCCATTAATATAAAATATAGCTTTTAAATAAAATATAGATATGCTTTTTACCTCAGTGTGTTTGATGAAAAACACTACTATACCTCTAACCTCTTTTTAAACTTTTAAAGAGAGGTCAAAGTATACTTAATTGGTAGCTGTTTTCATATCAACTTCAATTAAAAAGGCTAGTTTCACTTGCAAGAATGTTTAGAATTAAAATACAACCACGTTGAGTGTGTCTTTGAGGATGTATCAGGAATTTGCCTTCTCAAAAAACTTAAAAATATTTAGAAAAAAACATGCATCCATATTCAGTCAAAAAACTGACATTTCCTAAATGTTTATGTACACAGCAAGCTCAAGCTGCAATGGTAAACACTGAAAAACAGTAACTGCTCATCTGTTAATTACATTAAAAGATGACATTTAAGATACACTTCCTGTGTGCACATATTCTGCATACAACATGGCTCCAAGAAAAACAATTTGCACTTGAAATGAAGGCCCCGATTATACAGAACTGAACACATTTTGATTCATTAAAATGTGTATGTTCTAACCCAAAAGTTATCACAATATCAGACGTGGTATAATTCTCACAAAATGAGAAGTTATTTTCCTATTGCTGGTGTGATAGATAAATTTATACAATTAAGGATAAGTATAGCTAGAAGACTATTAAGTACAATGTTCTTTTCTTGGCCCCGTCCTTCACTATTAGTAATGTCCCTTAGTCCTTGATGCATCTGCCTCAGTCACCATCATTCCTTCCTCTCCCCAACTCCCAAAAACCTATAATAATTTCATAGGCCTTGTCTACAACGGTGAACTAGTCTGCATCACAGGGGTGTAAATTGTAGTACGCATTAGCATGCTACACACTAACTGGCCTGTGTGGACCCTGCTGGTGCACACTGAAAGTTCTCTAGTGCACACAAACATAATGGAGTTCTGTTTGAAACAGGATTAACAGCATTAGGGAACTTTTAATGCAGCCAGCAGGGTCTTCATGGGCCAATTAGAGCACAACACAGTAATGCACACTAAAATGTAAACCGCTCTGATGCAACACCACCAGGTAGACAAACCCTAATTGATTTCATTTTGTCCTTCTCTATACTCCCAAAACATCTCCGCAGATCTAGTTTTCTAAACTTATTTTGTAGTATGTGTGTGGGTGGCATGCATTATATAGAACAGAAAGACATGGCTTAACACAAGCCTGTTTCTTTTCTGATGCAAAGCTACAGTGTATCAAAGCAATTTAAGATGACATTTCTCCCCCCCCCCCCCAGCCCCTCAAAATGTGACAAATGCTGTAGATGGGTTTGCAGAGAGCAAAAACAAAGAACAATTTGTTATGTGAAAAAATTCTTTCAGTCACCGTACATTCACAGCTTACATGGGCAATACTTCATCAGTTAAAATTGCTATCACATTTCAGGGTACAAATAGTAGCAATATGGGGGAAAAAACCACCACATAACAGCATCCACTGGAGTTAGTGGATACTGACTCCTGTCGTGCAACAAGAGTATAAGATTTTTGTAACCTTATCTCGTCAAGTGACTGAAGACAGAAAATAAAGACATGTTTCTTACAAGGACCTTTGGATGGCTCATTTATTACAGAAACACAGTACCCGTATTTTATGTGATATGATTAAGTATATTTCACAGTATTACTGCATAAACCCAATTCACACAAATTACCAATTATTCCAACTTTAGGATGTTCAACGTAATATTATTCAACTCAGTGCACTCCAGAATGAGAAACATGAACTTATTCCAAACTGCTGTGCCTTAGATAGGAAATAAATAAGTTCTGGAGAATTACAAATGAAGGCAGCTAAAGGCAAACATATATTGTTATGAACCATTCCCCTTGGCAACAGATGTGCAGCACTCCACTTAATAGGCTCATGACCAAGGAAAACACCTTCTCCAGTCACCCAGTGGTCTTAGTTGCAAAGTCACCACAAAATCATTCTATTGTTTATTTTATGTTAAAAGCAATATTCACCATTTGAGATGTGGGCAAGAAGCCTTAAGATGTCTATGAGGGCAAAGCTATGAAGTATCTCAGGAAATTCACACTCAGCAAAAAAAGCAATTCCAATATTTCATCACACCTAGGCTTCTTTATTTAACCTAACAACATTCCATATAGACAGCAACCTCAATCATCCAATGGCCTAGAGGAACACAGAACTCTTTAAATCATTGGGTGATCTGTTAGTTAGGGTTACCGTACGTCTGGATTTTCCCGGACACGTCTGGCTTTTTGGTCCTCAAATCCCCATCCGGGGGGAATTGCCAAAAAGCCGAACATGTCCGGGAAAATACCAGTCCCCTGCTTACCTTTGAGCGGCTCCGGCAGGCTGCGAGCTGCAGGCGGATTCCTCCGCGGCGGCAGCTGCTGCTGCTCCCCCCAGACACCTCAGCTTTGTGTAGCTGAAGAGCCGAGCTGCCCAAGCGCTACCGGCTTCACGGTTTGCCGGGCAGCCCCCAGACCTCCAGACCCTGCGCCCCCGGTCGGGCACTTCCCCTCCTGGGCTCCGGCTGCACTGGGGAAGCGTCCGGCCGGAGGCGCAGGGTCTGGAGGCTGCCCGGCAAACTGTGAAGCCGGTAGCGCTCAGGCAGCTGTTTCGCGTGGCTGGGAGGGAGGAGGGGGAATGCGGGGTGCTCAGGGGAGGGGGCGGAGACTTTGGGGAAGGGGCGGAGTTGGGGCGGGGCCAGGCAGGGAAGGGGCAGAGTTGGGGCCGGGACAGGGAAGGGGCGGAGTTGGGGCCCCATGGAGTGTCCTTTTTTTTAATTTTTAAATATGGTAACCCTATTGTTAGTTGTAGGAGCCAGCCATACAAGGAAGGTCAAAGGACCATGAGCACCGACTTTAAGGCCTGCTGGTCAGTTGCTCTGATAACTTCCAGCTGGCAGATATCTCAGAATCAGCTTGTAAGGGGGAATTCCAGGAGCAAAGAACTGCCGAGAATGGCTGGTTTTCTTAAGTTTTGCTTGTGTGTGCATTTAAGTTCTGCAAGAGCTGAGCTTCAAGAACATTTCATCTAGCATCTTCCTCCAGCAGCTCCCCTATCCACTCTTGCTTTGTGCAGCAAGTTTCTGAAATATACTTCATTTAAAAGAGGGCTTTATCCCGCAAATTTAGCAAGAGAGACATCCTTATTTTGAACAAATCAAGGTACATGCTACACAGGATATTGAGAAATACTATTTCTTGGCTGTGCTGTTTCACAGTTATGATCAATACACTGGTTCCTTGTTTGTGAGACAAAGATAATCTCATCTAGGGCAGTGGTTCTCAACCAGGGGTCGGGGGCCCCTGGGGGGCCGCGAGCAGATTTCAGGGGGTCTGCCAAGCAGGGCTGCAATTAGACTTGCTGGGGCCCAGGGCAGAAAGCCAAAGCCTTGCTGAATGGGGCTGAAGCCCGGGGTTCCAAACTCCGCCACCTGGGGCTGAAGCCAAAGCCTGAGACACTTAGTTTCGCAGGGCCCGCAACTGCCCTGCTTGCTACCCCTTAATCCTGGCCCTGGCTTTTATATGCAGAAAAAGTTGTTGTGACATAGGTGGGCCATGGAGTTTTTATAGCATGTTGGGGGGGGGGGGGCGCGGCTCAAAATGAAAAAGGTTGAGAACCCCTGATCTAGGGGGCTGTTCGCATATGCTTGCTAGTGGAGGTGGTTATTTCCAAACAGCTGATCACATTTGAACAAATGTATGTTCTTATAGAGAGACGCAGAAAACTCAAATCACTGGATTTCCAGCACTCTATATTCTATATCTTCTCGTGGAGGGAATTCAGTGAGTATTTGTATTTTGAGATTAATACTGAGGGGCAAATCAATTGGGTAAATAATGTACATACTCAAGACTTCTGGCTCAAAGAAAAAAATTGGAAAAAACTGTCCCTTCAGTTTTTAAACAAACTGCTGCATAGTTTGTTTCAGAACAGCAATAAAAACTGATGACACATCATGAAAGGGATGCCTGGCAAGATCTCTAGCACAATTTGTAGCCCCAAAAGGTTCAAGTAAGGATTTGCAATTTGTAGAGAAAGCTTATTCAAACCTTGCCCAGGTCACCCATTGCTAATTACCATAATAAGAAATATTTTGGTACGAGAATCCTTCACAATGGCCAAAAAAGGAAAAGAAAAAACACGAAGTGGGAAAAAAAAAAAAAAAAAAAAAAAAAAAAAAAAAAAAAAAAAAAAAAAACACACAATCAACACTATGAAGCTTTTATATTTTAAACATGAAATTATCCCTCCCCTTAACCTCTCAAATCTATTTTTACCCTGAGATAGAACTGCAACACAGGAAATTTTAGAAATATTAATATAAATAGGGCTCTAAATCTAGTTAAGTTCTTGTTACAAGAGGCATGAAAAATGAAGTCCTTGTTCTTTTTGGGAACATCTTATAAGATGCAAGTTGCAAGAATCATTTAGTTTATTTT